ATAGACATTAAAAGAAATATTAGTTAATAGATACTATCTTTAATAATATTTACAAAAAATTAATTGATTCGTGAAGTATATCATAAATTTATATTATATTTTATAAAATGTTGATACTATTAAATATTTAAATTATTACTTATATATTAAAATTTAATTGTAAATATTATATAATAAATTTTTATTAATATTAATAAGATATTATAAAATTTAATTCATTAATTATATTTAAAATTTAATAAAACATTACTATTTCCTTTTTTTTAGCATATTGCATTGGACCTATGTTAAAAATTAAAAACAAATCATATGTTACTTTAGTTTACAAATTTTTTTATTAAAAAAATATTAATTAACTTTATCTACAAAAATTTTATCTCTTTACACATTTGAGTGGATAGGAGAATTTGAAAGTTAAAATGGTTTAGTATTTTTTATATTAAATAAATAAATATATTTATTTATATAAATAATAAATACATATTTTATCAACATAAATTTTATAATAAATAATAGTATAATTTTTTTATCAATTAATGTAGTTTTTTTAAAATTATTATAATTAATCAAAACAAAAATATTGAAATTATTTTTTATATAAAAGACATGAATAAACACTATTTTCAGTTATATATATATAATAATTAGTATAAGAATTTTTTATTGTAATTATAATAAAAAAATCCATTTTTAGATACATTAATTGTTAAATATAAAAATGTTAATTTTAATTATTAAAAATAAGTTTAAGTACTTAAAAGTGATTATTATATTTTAAATAATAATTCATCACACTTTAATAATATGTGTTTTTTATTTAAAAATTAATATTTTTAGATAATTAAACTCATTCTTAAAAATTAAAGTTAAAAAATCTTTAAAATAAATTATTAATTTTAATACTTAATATTGTGAATATTTTAAAATATAATATAAATTTATGACATATTATTACTTGATATATATATAATAATTTATTTTTTATAAATAAAATTAAATATAACAATAAATATTTTTAAAATTTTAATATTAAATATGATCAATATAATAAACATGGTCATGTAAATTATAATAAAATTTATTATTCATATATTCTTGTTATCTACCTTTAAGCACATTATAAAAATGTAATTAAGTTTGAATAACATGCGCATTTTATATTTTAATGATCTTTTATTATACATATGAGTATATAAGACAAATGAGTAAAAAAAATATTTTTTATTAAGAGGTATAACTTATTGCATTCAAATGGAAAACTATTAATATTTTAAAAGTTGTTAAAAATATCTAAAAGTAAAAAAATTAAAAAGTGTTATTAATACATTAATATCATAATCTCTTTTGCTTATATATTTTAAAATATAATACATATTAAACAATATAATTAACGTATTTATGTATATTGAAAAATTAACTCCCTAGATGACTTATACTATCATTTATTTATAATGAAAGTGTATAATTTGTTTGAAAATTATGTAGAGACAAGAGTATGATAAAAACAAATTCACAATTACTGTATTTTTTGACTTTTAAAAGGATAAAATTAAATACTTTTTCTTAAAAATAGACAGATGAAAATATATTATCTAATAATGATTGAATGAAATAAAATAATTATATAACAAAAAAATATTATTTAAACATTTTATGATAAAATAAAAGAACTCGTATATCATTTGAGAAATGAATAAAATATTGAAGATATTAGTAAAAAAATAAGATGGTCATCCCATATCTCAACGATATGATTTTGTATTAAAAAATTTTAAAAACAGAAAACTGTTTTAAAATCAGAAATAAAACCATGAAGTTTTGTTTAAAAATCAACAAACCCAAAAACTAAGCCCAAAAGCAATAAAGAAACATGCCCATACCTATTATAAAGTACAGAAATTCCATGCCAGTTTGTTCCTTTCAACCACCGCATGTTTTTGCCCATAGTGATATGTGCTCTATTTTTGGTCTACTTTATTTCTGCATTACAATTTACAATAGCACTATTTGTCGCATCTGATTTATTTATTTATTTTCAAAAACACTTCATTGGTAAGAGTTGTAACATTTGTGAAAGGCATCATTAAAAAAACAGGCCCAGTCAAAGTTTTGAATTGTATCTCAATGCTGCCCATCAAATAAGCACTGGGTTCATTTGATCCAGCCTGATAAAAAGATGATAAAAAAAACCATTTAGTAACAGCTGATGACCCTTCACAATACTATATTTTCAAAGTTAATTTTCAGCTTTGATGGTTTTATTTTATCCTCTATTATCAGTAATGTATTAAAATATGTGTTTCATAAAATATATAATTATTTGACTAAAATTTAATAGGTTGAAAAGACAAAAATTAAAATAGGGTAAAATTATAAGAATTTAAATTATGATAGAATAAAATTATAAAATCCAACACTTAAATTTGTAAAATTATAAAGATAAAAAATTTAATTTTTATAGTAAAAAAATTAAAATTAAAATTAACGACAAATAACTCAATATTATTTAAATAAAATTGAGTTTAATTTTTTTTATATATAAAAATATTTTAATAATAAATTTATTACCATGACTAAATTATGACTGGAGTTAAATATAAGTTAAATTAAATAAAAATAAAAAAATATTTTTTTTAAAAAAACTTCATCGATCATTTTCTATATATCATTTGAACATAAAATGGTTTTCCAATAGCAGCTTTACCTCACATCTCATTGATAGCACTAGTATTACTAATTAATGATGTGATGATTTGATTGCTTTCTCATCCTGCTTTTAGCTTTTATCGTGACACTGATCCGATAAGCATCAATCCAAGTCAATAGTTAGACTGTGGCGCTTTTATACATATATTATTGTGTTACTTTTAAATTTAAATGTGAAAATTAATTGATTCCATGTTAGCACACAGGACATTTATCCATATGTATCTTGTTATAGTATTGAGTCCTTTAAGTGAATAGTATGAGATAACAAAATTATTATTATTTTTTAAACATAAAACTACTGTTATGAAATAAATTTTAATTTTAAAATGTATATGATAAGATGCAAAATTATTTTGTTAATTTAATATATATTAAATATAATAAAATATATTTTATTATATTGTTATTTAACTCTCATGTTTTATGAATTTTTTATTTTATATTTATCATACAAATTCTTAAACGATAGCAAATTATATAGATATAATTATGGTAACAATTGCTTATGAGATTAAGATAAAATAGAGAATTTTATTTAATATAATATAAAGTAACTACGAATTTTCATTGTTGCTGTTATAAAATTTAATTATTTAGGTTTGTTATATAATTCATTTAAAGGTTTAAATTTTAAAAAATTTAAAAAGTGACAGGCTAATCAACTGATATACTCAATTCATTGCGTATCTTCTTTTAAACATATATTTTAATAAGTTTTTTTATGAATAATTAATTTTTAAAAATTTAAAATACTTGTGTTGTACGTTAATTATTTTTAAAATTTTTACTTTAATTTAAAAGAATTATCCACTCACAAAAATATTAAAAATATACATTACTAACAATTATCTTTAATTAAATTATAAAAAAAACATTTTCTCGAAACATAATAGGCTAGGCAAGAAAATGGTCCAACCCTCTTAGTGAATAAGTATCGTACCTCTTGGGGCAAAAATATTTTTCGACCACCCCTCTTTAAGTAAATCAATAAATATTTCTTTCAAGTTTCATTAAAATTGTATTATATTTTTAAAATATTTACAACATTAAATAATTAAATTAATAATTTTATATTACATATTAAAATTTTATTAAACATTATATAATATTATATATTATAAATTAATTTAAATATATTATCAGTATCAAATATTTAATTATAAATTACTATATCAGTAAAAGTTATTAAATTTTATAATAAATAATATAAAAATTATATTAACAATGTATTTTTATTAATTAACAGTGTAAACTTTTTTACAATAATAATACAAAAAAATTAATTTTTATATTATTAATTGATTTTGAATATATAAATTTTATATTTTAATTAAATAATGTTTCATTATATATCCTTAATATTTTAAAAAAAATGTTATTTGAATGAAGCAAAAGAGCAAAAAATCAAACTTGCACAGGCTTATTCCACTATTTGAAGCTCACTGACGAGGCGAAGATCGTCATTAGACCACGCTTTTCTTCTCTTTCAGCTCATTGGTCCTATAATTTAAAAAAAAAAAAAACGATGATTCTGAAATTAATAGTTGTCTTCATGTGTGTATAGATTAAATAAAAAACTAAAATATCAATTATTTAAATAAATAAATTTATTTATGATTAGTTGTCATAATAATTGATTATATAAAATAAAATTTGTATTTAAATATGTAAAATAAAAAATAATTTATTACATTTAAATTATACAAAATGATTAATTTTTATATTGAAATTAAAAGATATTAGTTCATGCATAATAATTAGTTTTATATTTAAAATTATTATTATTAAATATAAAACAAAAAGGCAAATATATTATTGGACCCCTTTTAAATTACTTGACACTGATCCAATATTTTGGTATATTGGCCTTTTCGTCGTGTTATGGGGATATACAACACCTGAAAAAGGCAACAGCAACACAACAAGAGGTTCCCTTAAAATAATGCAAATGAACCAAAAGAATAATAATTGTGATTTTTTTAATGTATATTTGAAAAAATATATTAAATAAATTTCATTACATATTTTAAATTATCACCAAAATATATTAATTAGTTTTCAAATTTTAATATAAGAAATAAATTCATTTTACATTTTTAAAAGATGATAAAAGAAAAAAGATTCTAGATATTTGAAGGGACAAGCACATTGTTCCCAGCTAGACCACGAGGACGCCACGCGCCCAACCCTACCTTTTGATCTGATCCCTCCACGTTTCACTCCATCCAACGGTTATAACACCGCCAACCTTCCCATATAGCCCCCCACACAGCACCGATCCGTCCATCCCTATCCGGTGCCACTGTCACCTCCCTCAATCAATAAGCCTTTTCCGTTCTGTTTTCATCTGTTTTCAATTTTCTGGTCCGTTGAAATCCCACAGCAACACCATGCTTCTCAGAGCCGCTGCCACTGCTTCTGCTTCAACCCTGTCTCTTTTCAACTCGAACACTGAACAGTCGCGTTCATTTCCCGTTCGTTATTCATACTCCTTTGGAAAAAAGGATAGTGGATTGGTGGTTTGTGCCACCAAGGGATCCACCAACAACCGTGTCCTAACCGGTGTGGTTTTTGAACCATTTGAAGAAGTGAAGAAGGAGCTCGATCTCGTTCCCACTGTTCCGCAAGTTTCTCTCGCTCGTCAGAAATTCGTTGATGATTCTGAAGCTGCAGTTAACGAGCAAATCAAGTTGCTCTCTCTCTCTCTCTCTCTCTCTCTCTCTCTCTCCCCTATGTGATTTATATATAATTTTTTTTTTATCGATTTTGTTTGTTAATTTTCGTTCTGATTATTATTTTATTTTATTTGTTTATTGGTTACAGTGTGGAATACAATGTGTCGTACGTGTACCATGCTATGTTTGCGTTCTTTGATAGGGACAATGTTGCGCTCAGGGGTCTTGCCAAGTGAGTAACGGTTTTGTTGTTTTCAGGATTTTTCATTTAAGGTGTGTTTGGATAAATAGTTTGATTAATCACTTATTGAAGTTCTTATCAAATGAAAGCTTATTAGCTTCTACATGAAGCTTATGGAAATGAGTTATTCCAAATATTCCCCTGTTTTGGTTTGATTTGTTTGTTGTGTGTGATTATTGGTTGTCAATGGTTGCGATTGTTTTTGTAGGTTTTTTAAGGAATCGAGTGAAGAGGAAAGAGAGCACGCTGAGAAATTAATGAAGTATCAGGTGTTTGGTTTTGAATTATTTCGTATAGTGTGTTTTCTCAATCTTGTAAGGTGATGCTGAATTCTTATTTTGTCTGTGTTACTGAATTTTGGTTTGGTTTCAGAACAAACGTGGTGGAAAAGTGAAGCTGCAGTCTATAGTGATGCCGCTTTCTGAGTTTGATCATGCAGATAAGGGAGATGCGCTGCATGGTTAGTGTCTCTGGCCTTCTCCTTTTGAGTATTTTGAGTTCATATTTTGGTTTCTATAATTGGAAATGGAATTTGTTTCTTTTTCTGCGATGTCCTGTTACCAATTCTCATCATTGAAATTGAAAGGGTAGATGAGTTTAAATTGTTAAATGAAAAGGAATTGAAGAAACTATTAAGGTGAAGGTCAATTTATTTGATTACTCCACAAGTCACTCACTCAGTTTATTGCTTTGTTTTCATTTTTGTGAAATAGAGGCTTCACCCCCTTAATTTTGACTTGGATTGTGTTTGTGACCTGTGGTCAAGTTCTTTTGTCATTACTTAATTGAAAATTATTACATTGAGTATTATACGTTGTTTATATTCTACAGTCAATACAATAGTTACCGTGTCTTACTTTAAATCTTGTGATTCAATAGTCATACAACAGTTTTAACGACTCGAAAACCTCCTTGATCTCACGATTTCTATTTGTTAATTTGATACCAGCAGTTATTTGGTCTTGTTTCTGATAATATCTGCATCTTTACGATTTTTACTTTCTGCAGTTCTCAAATGGATTTTCTATTTGTCAGAGAACTAAATATGTTTTTTCTCTTATTGCAGCAATGGAACTCGCTCTGTCATTGGAGAAGCTAACGAACGAAAAGCTCCTTAAGTTGCACAGTGTAAGATAAGTTTGTTGGGTCTTGATGCTGCATGTGCTATGTTTCACTGGTTTGATTCATGTCGACAAGAGATTGTTAAAATGAAAAATTCATTCGTTTTAACTTGATTATTGTTTGACAGGTTGCCACAAAGAACGGTGACGTGCAGTTGGCAGACTTTGTGGAAAGTGAGTTTTTGGGCGAACAGGTATGAATAACTTTGGTGTTGTAACGAATATATTTTTTTCTCTTACAAGTGTAAGAAATTGTACGTATTTATATTTTATGCATTGCATTTGGCAAAGACTGCTAGGAAACTCAAATCGATCCAAATTCTGATATTGAATTGATTATTTCGTAGGTTGAAGCCATCAAAAAAATGTCCGAGTATGTTGCTCAGCTCAGAAGAGTTGGCAAAGGACATGGTAAAAATTTATAATTCTGCTAAGAAACTTTTCCTGGATTTTTTCTCGTGAAAAAGTTGGTCTAATTTTCTTATGCACCAAAGTAAGATATTCTATATGTTAAGTTAGTGTGTTTCTTTTTTGGGACTTTCAGGTGTCTGGCACTTTGATCAGATGCTGCTCCATGAGGAAGGAGCTGCAGCTTGATGATTATATTCTGCCCCCCTCCCTCTTCTAGTCATTGTTTCTTTTGTCTATCTAAGAGACCTTTAAGTCTTTTTTGCTAGTAGTTGAAACTGAACTATGGCTGAATAAAATCAACGTGGATTGGTTTCGGTCATCTTGATATTTTGCAGTTCATTTACTAGTCGATGCATGTTTTCTACGAATCTTCCATCGAAATGCAACTTGAGTAGTTTAGCTAACACTGAATTCACCAAATGCCAGATAAAAGTGTTTTGACATGACGTCACTAATATCAGGCTTCCTAACACTGAATTCACCAAATGCCAGATGAAAGTGTTTTGACATGACGTCACTAATACCGTGCTTCCTTTTTGTTCAATTAGTTTCATGGCTCGTAAGGTCATTCTTATATATGGGTGAACTATGTGAGCGTTGCATATCGTTTTCTTATTAGCGGGTATTTGGAAATAATTGAAGTTATATATCATTGCTTAGAACTGTAGTTACTAGCAATTACGATTGAGTTTTGAAATCAAATAGTAGAATATGAAAGAAACATACTTTCGTTTCGGTCAAAGTATTGCCAAGCTGATGTCCTGAAATGCATGAACCCATATAATACTAAGCTTCGGTTTGTGTAGTCCCCTACATTCAAGTTGATTTTTTTTTGTAGTCAATCTGGCTATTTACTAAAAACATTCTCATTTTAAAATTGAACTACAAAGAAATGACAATAACCAGTTAATATAGTTTGTAACATTTCGTTATGGCCTGAGCAGTACAACTGATATTTATCCTCGTGAGAAAATACGTTTTTATTCTTTAACAAATGCGGCACACTTGGATTAAGTTGCAAATATAGAACAATTCTTTCCATATTAACTACATGTGAAATAAATGTACTTTTGAACCGAATTTTTCGATCAATCGGCCGCCAATGTTACGAGACATTTCATGAAATGAAAATATAAAACTTCCGGCAAAGCAAATGCCGCGAATGTGTCGGACTGAAAAAAAAATCAATGCCATGAAAATAGTCATGGCAGAGAACAACTCCAAGACTATAATGCTATAATGTGTTGGATTGAATCATTCTACACAAGTACGCAAATAACCTCATTCAATTCGACAGTAGCACGATCACCCTCCCAAGGGTTACGCCATTGCATTAGGGTAGACTTGACTCTGATTTAGTACGATTAAACTACATCGAAACTAGGAAATGAAAATAATACTTGAATATAGCATCCACAATAAAAGTTGTATGGTCCAAGAGTCAAAATTCAACGGATAAAATCTCGCAACAAGAGAAATTGGAAACCAAAAACATTGAATAAAACTACCAAACATTCAAGTCTAATAATCCAAAGGGTTTTAAGCAGTAGCTGCTTGTTGGGCAGCAATCCTTTTCCTAGCTTCCTCAATGATTGATAACTTAATACCTTTACCCTTGGGAAGTGATACCCATGGTTTTGACCCCTTGCCAATAGTGAACACATTACCCATTCGAGTTGCAAATTCATGTCCAGTAGCATCCTGAACGTGGATTGTCTCAAAGCTTCCCTTGTGCTTCTCCCTGTTCTTGATCACTCCAACACGCCCCCTGTTCCTTCCACCTGTCACCATAACTACATTCCCAACATCGAACTTGATGAAATCAACGATCTTGTTTTCCTCCAGATCCAGCTTAATGGTGTCGTTGGCCCTGATGAGAGGGTCTGGGTAGCGTATTGTGCGACCATCATAGGTGTTCAGGTATGGGATACCTTTCTGCCCAAACTGCACTGATCGAACCTTGCAGAGCTTGAACTGCCGTACACACAACATGCAAGGAGAACCCATGAAACCATAATCATTGAGCGGGAAAAATCAACAATTTATACATGTTGAAACTCAAAAATCAAACAATTAACTACACAAAATCCAGAAATTGATGTTTAAGGGGTTTACTAGCATAGTAGCATCAACACCAATTTGTTAGCTAATATATACTATAACTTGACACAATGAATTCAGGCTCATCATACACTGATATGACTGTAATCGCACCAAGGGGAAAGACATGTGGAAAATACAGAGTCAACAAATAAAAGTACCTTTGCCTCGTCATCCCTGACTGAGTGAAGACGGAATCGGCCTTTAGTGTCATATAGCAGGCGGAAATTCTCGTTTGTTTTAGGGATTGATACAACATCTGTAAAGAGATATAAATATAAAAGAAAAATTATGCCACCAGCCACATCTTTTAAACTATATAAGCATTTATCGAGACAAACAAACACACTCGAAGCAGGCAGGGAAAAGAACATGTATCCCTGGGAATCAGTTAATATCTAAACACCTCTTCAACAACCCAGATTTTACAATACAAACAACCAATATTCAAGAGGGCTTGCTCAATTAATCACAACTCATCGAGTTATACAACAAGTTTGCAGGGACAAGGCTGAGTAAATATACCATGGCACTAACTGAGAGCTTCATGCACCAACTACATCACCCTCCTATTTTAATATAGACTTGATAACATGATGTGAGCAATTATTCTAAAAATTAACAGGCTACATACATACCCATGAAACCAGCAGGATAAGTCTTGTCTGTCCTAACTTTGCCATCAACAAGGACATGTCGCTGCATCAGAATAGCAATGACTTCACGGTATGTCAGAGCATATTTCAGCCGGTTTCGCAGAATGAGTATGAGAGGGAGGCATTCCCTGGATTTGTGTGGTCCAGATGAGGGCTTTGGCGCCTATACAGGATGAAAATAATTCATGTCAGTCTTTTAAACCCTAGAAATCTGGTAAAAAGATTATGGAACTTTCACTTACAAATGCACCACCCAGTTTGTCAAGCATCCAATGCTTTGGGGCATTGAGCCTCTTCAAATGCTTCTTCAATCCCCTGGCCTGTTACAGTCACAAACAACCAAGTTTAAGGCTCAAACACGAACTAAAAAGGCGTTTAAACATAAAATCTAACAAAATGAATAAAAACGGGGTCATATTATATGGATCGCAATGCACCGAACTTAGAGTTCAAAAATAACACAGTAGATTAGAACGCGCCATTTCATGAAAATGGAAGATTAGATTCGAGTGAAATATAAAAGATGAAGACGAGGATCAAACACGTAATGAAGATAGAAGATCATACGAACCATTTTGGTTTGCGAACCAAGCTACTGCTCCACCGCGCACGAAACTGAAGAAACTGAATGATATGCTGCGGCCACCGCTACGAGGGAGGTTATGTCAAAACCTAATATGTAAGTGAATGCTGGATCATGGGCCTGGCCCATATTTCCATTATCGGGTCTTATTTCGGTCGGTCATTTTTTTATTTTTGACAAAAATATACTTTTTTTTTAATGTTTTAATCTCAAAAGTGTTTGTGCTCCCCGTCAAGCACTCACTACACTTGCAAGAGATTAATTGTCCTTTTTAAAAAAATAGAGAAGAAAGAAGATATACGTAAGAATATATTTTTTTATTTAGTTGAAAAAATAAATAAACAAAGGATAAATTCAGATCTTAAAATTTTCTTCCTCTCTTTCCATGAAAGTAAACAAAAGATAAATTTGGAAGACAAGTATATGTTATAACTTTTGTTTAAAAATTAAACATTAAAGTTATGATAAATTACGCATTTATACAATAAAATTATGCAATTAAATTTTTAACTATTATTTTTTATCAATATTATCTAAAATGTATCATTAGTTGAAAGCAAACAAAACTAAAAATTAAACTCCATTATGTGTTCATTGTTTAGGTTATTTTGTTTTTATTTTTTTAAAAGCTGTGGTATCATTGAGCTTGGCCTTTTTATTTATCATACATTAGGGGTTAAGTTACAAAATAATCTCTAATTGTATGAGGTAAACAACGACAATAACATTTTACGACAACAAAGAGCAATTTTTTTAACGAGAATTTAGCCTTTATCTTTTATGTTTGTAAATTTGAATTAAAATAAACTTAAATTTATAAAATTAAAATTTTTCAACCAACTATAAAATGAACATAATTATGTAAAAACTTATCGTAACAAAAAAAAAATACTAAGTTTGTAGAAAGACAATTGTCATTAAATATATTTAGTATAAAATTTTATAGATTTATCAATCAATTTATAATTGAATTAATATCATTGACATATATTTTTTCTAGAATATATAATAAATTAACTAATACATTAACATAAAATTATATAAAAACAAATAAATTAGTATAAAAGAATAAATTACATGTTTTAAGAGATATAAAAGTAATAACTGAAATTGTAAATAAATTAATAATTACCAATATTTTACTAATAAAATTAAATGTACTTTAATGTAAATATAACTTATAAGTAAATATTACAATTACTATTTTTAGGGGTATGCATGGATTATGTTTTTTAAAAATTAATTTAGATTTATTTAAAATCTAATTATATAAATTGGATTTTAAACTAATCAATTTTCATTTTTTTTAAAATAGTTTAAATTTATTTTAAAATTGATTTAAAATCTAGTAAAAACATATTATAAATATTTTTATATTATTATTAAATTAAAAAATATTTAATTTTTATAATAACTAATATAAATTTATATTTACATATATTTTAATCTATTAATAATATAATTTTTTTATTTTATATTATATTAAACTAATAAATATTTACATATATTCTTTTTTTTTTATCATTTATCTACCATACAAACTAATTATACAGATAAAATTTTAAAATTTTTATTTTATTTTTTAACTAGTTTAAAAGTAGTTTTAAAATTTAAATTTAATTTAAATTTTTTTATTAAAACTAATTTTAAATTTAATTTTTAAGAAAAAACTAGTTTTCAATACATTTATAAATTTAATTATTAAAATAAAACTAATTTATTTTACTCATCGTTATATTAAATTAGTGCGTTTTAAAAAAAAATTAGTAATATTTATTAATTATATTATATTTCATAAAAGTTTATAAAATATTTATTATTACTTTTAACTTATTTTTAATAAACGGAGTTGATAATGAAAGTTTAAATTAAAACTTGTAAAAATAAAAATTAATGATATAAATAATAATAAAATTACTATGTGATAATATTTTAAAAATTAAAAATAAACAAATATAAAAGTAATAATTGTTATTAATTTAAAGATATTTATTATATTTTAATATCTTTAATATAATAAATATATTTTAAAAATATTATTTTAAATATTTATTTTTAATTATAAAAATTAAAATTAATAAAAAATTATTAATCATAAAACGTAACAAGAATAAAATTTTATAATTTGATACAGTGTAGAGATTTAATAAATAAATATATAAAATAATACCTCTCGTATATATGAATTTAGATAAATTTAATAAATTTTAATTTTAATTTGAAAAAATATATATTCAATTAAAAAATATAATAAAAAACCAATTTAATTCAACTTAATTTTTTGCCTGGCCAACTATTTTCAGTGTGCAACAAATTGTATTCTGTATCTTTCCCTGCCTGTACTGCTCAATACATGTCATTTCCACAGACACCTTTGCGAGCAACTAATAATTGGACTTCAATTTTTCTGAACAGTCACCAATAAGTTAACAATCCGTGTACTTGTATCTGGGATTCTGGACTCTCCAGTCACCGATCGAAATGAATTTGGCAGCCATCAGTTCATATCATGCAGTGACATAGTTAATGCAAATCAGAGTCGTAAGACGAAGATTGATTGAATAATACTTCAAATATGCATTTTAGTTTAGTTTGATTTGCTGAAAATATCTGAACTATCCAATTTTCATCTAATTGCTCTTATTTATGTGAAAGTGTGAATGCGTAATTTCCAAACTGCAGTGAGTGACTGTATAAACACACGAGGAAGAGAAAGACAGACACAGAGAGAGAGAGAGAGAGAGAATTCACGGCTTCATGCGCTGGTTCGGAGGGGGAAACATCTTTCTTTCTTGGCAACCTGCAAAAGTGGTTGATTATTTGTCATTAGTTGCAGGCACCTCTCTGTCCTGCTTCAACTTCATAGTCATGAGTCGCCAAATAGTAATTAAATAACGTTTTTATAACATGTCACTGATAAAAACTTATATATATTAATTTTTTTATTGAAAATCACAGATCTAATGCATTGATATTATTAAAAGATAGTAGTAATTTTTACTGAAAATTTATTTTTTATTAATTTTTATTGTGTGTCACCATATACATATTTAAAATTTTGTTAAAGCAAAGTGGCTTCTCATGCATAATTAAAAAATTTTAGATTTTCTTATGTTATTAAAACAGAGGAAGCGTGTTTCTGTATATTAAACACTAAACAATTCTCAAAATTTGTTTAGATTAAAAATAGTTAAATAAATTTGGATGATACATCGTATCAGGATAGTACTCCAACAATTAACATGGTATAATGTTAGAGAAAAAATGTATATTTTTCTCTTCTCATATCCATATATTATAGGCTCTCCTTGATGCTTCATCTTAAGGCACTTGGTCGATATTATTCTTGATATCTTCTCTATTTTATGTCAGAAAGTAAAACTTACTAGGAACAATGTAAAATTATTTATAAAATGTTATTCGTGAGCTTTGTTAGGTAGCAGTTTTACTATGACGATGCAAAGTCTATTAAACGTACCTCCAAAACCTCTCAGCTCAATCTCATGCCATTCTTGAACCATTGCACAACAGCAACACATTAGATGCGTTAAGAAGTCATCACATAGACCTCCCTACAGATATATTAATTTTGTATAGTCACTTCTCGGTTCTTGATATTTACAGAAGGGTGAAATGGAAGAGAAACAAACCTCAATGTTAAATTGTCTACGCAATTTCCTTCTTATGCAACAAGAATAACAGCAGCAGCAGCAAAAGATGGAGTAAGCCACTAGATCAATCATTGCACGCAGTCGAGCTGTAACAACTTCCAAGAGGCATCAATAAGTAACGAGACAATACACTACATCAAAACTTTGTGATGCTTTTTAACAGTTTTTAATGATGTATCATATCTACTAATAAAATCACATTATTCACCATAAACTTACAAGTTTCTCCTCTCGTAACCACGTTAGCTATCCAAGAAAATGTTCCACAAGGGAAGAAGCAGGTCTTCAAGCCTGCAATGAACAAGAATATTTGCTTGGTTTATCATTTACCCTCTATGAAATAATGTAAATAGAATATAATATACAAGTAAGGGGTTCAGGTATTTACATAAGCAAGGCTCACGACAGCAACCAAAGAGATCAGTCTTCCATTCTGATTGACTTTTATCTCCAGATTCCAACTCAAGGTCCTCAGAGCCTTTTGCATTATTAATTATATGCCTGTTCCAAAATATATGAATAAGTATTTACTATTAAGATGCTTACCCCATAAAAATCAATGAATGGTATCTTAATATTACCCTGAAACCAAGCAAGTTGGTTCACTGACTACAATTTTTGTAACCTTCTTCTTAGGTGACATGTTGACAACATTTTTTGTGACTTCAATAAGATGTTCAATTACCCTGCATTGTTCTGGGTCATTATTGGTTCTTGATCTCTGTAGTTTAGCGTGTAATTTTTCTTTCTCCTCATCAAGAGCCTCGTGGAACCCCAAATCTGGGTACCTACGGGACAAGGACTTCTCCAGTATATCTGCATCCTTTTTAGATCGATTAGTCTTCAATATCACGTTTTGGGCCTCCATATCTTCTTCATCCAGAGTGTATTCCCTTTGATCCTCTTCGCTGAAAGGCTGCATTCCAAATATCGAATCTTGTAGTAAATATGATATTTCTCGCACCAGCTAAACAGTAAACACCGTGTGACTTTCGAAAATTTATTACTCTTAAACTATACCTATATACTTTGAATCAGTACTCAATACTACTACTTGGATTAAAGATCGATAATTTACAGTAAAATAGTTAAAATTTAAGAATTTTAAGTATTAAGCCAATTTCTTAATCATAGCATCTAACTCTTATAAAGTTTCAAGTACTACCGTTCGATATCATTGGACATTGGGATGAGATCCATGCTACTCCCTCCGAGTAGCAGAACCGAGCATTTTACAATTCCTTTACTCTCGAGTCTTCATATTCGTCTACCATTTTCAAAAAGTAAACAGTGAAATTGACATTCGACAACTTTTGTAACTTTGTCCAAAATTAATCGAAAAAATGGAAATCATTTATTATATTTTATTTGCACCGAGAATCGCTTCACCAAACTTACAAGAATTAGGTTGTTTTTTGGAAAAATGATTTAAATAAGTACTCGTCTACGTTTTTACTAAATGAAAATTTGGGATATAAATTAATTATGAGATTTATAAAAAAAAAAATTATGTTAATAAGTTATTTTTAAAAATTTGATTGATATAAACTTTTAAAACAAATTATAGATATAAATTTCATAAGTTGTTTTAAGTGTTCTTTTATTACTATTAATATTAGTTTAAATAAATTTATTAATAAGTATGTATAGAAGTTAAAACTTAAATTATGAAATAAATAAAATTATTTTAATGAGTTAAAAAATTATGATTTTTTAAGAAGTTATCATTTTTAATTTAAAAATATAAATTATATGAGAGAAATTTTATTTATGTTTTATATTGTTTTTTTCTCTCTTATACTTAAGTTAATTCTATATTCAAATAAGAAAAATCAATGTTTTAAATTAAAAATAAATAAAATAAGTATTGAAATTCATTTATACTTGAGCTTTACATTTTCTAAATAAAATTAAATGTCACTAACTCACTAGTTTATTGAATATTTAAAACGGCTTTAAATGTTTTATAAAGCATTTAAAAACAATAGAAAAAAAAAGTATATAAAAGAATATAAAGAAAAGTGATCATAATTAAAAAAATCATTTTCCTTACATGTGTGTTAGATGATAACTTAAACAAAGAGTTACTAATATATGAATTTTTTTTATGTATTAATGCATGGAGGAGAGAGAGTTTAGTGTTAATGTCATGGCAAAGAAATGTAAAAAGAAAAATGTCGTACATTAGTTTTGTCCAACATTTTAAATAAAGAAAATACACAAAAACAAGTATATGATAAAATAATATGTGATAGAAAAATATAAAAAAATAATTATAAAAGGGATAAAAAAATTGAAAGAGTAGTAAAGGTTTACAGCCTACAAACCTGCGTACGATAGTGATATACAAGAGAAATGAGAGGCACAAGTCCAAGGTAGCGATCGATCTGGGCTTGGACTTGACGGAACTGATGCACCACGCTCCAACCCATGGCAAGCATGTACAAGTAACTCTTATCTTTGCAACTCTCCACCAAATCCAACGCATTCTTCAGAGCCTCTTCTAAACCATCCAACGGTTCCTTCGTCGCCGGCAAGTTCGCCACCTCCGTCGATTTCAGCTTCTCCAACAGCTTTCCTATCATCCTCACCTGCGCCGCCATACGCTCGCAGTTCCCGTGGTGTGCCCTCGCGTTACGCGCCGCCGATATCACCGTGTTTGCCACGCTCGCACCGCCGAACCCCGAGACCGGAGCTAAGTTCTCCATGCTGTTTTCGGTTTTTCAAAGTGAAGGGAGAGGAAAAGAGTTTTAATTGTTTTCTTGGGTTTTGCTTTTGCCTATGGAGTTTTTCAATTGTGTGAAAGCGACGCGCTCATTTAAGCCTTGGACAGTTGAACAGAAATGGTGCATATTTGCCTTGGAGGGATGGGTTGTATACGGAGACTCGAGTTATGTTCCCTTTGATTGCCTTGTTTATTTTTAGGTGAATGAGAGTGATCTTAGAAAATTTGCTAAGAAAATTAAATATGTAAAATAAAAAACACTTATCATGTTAAATATTGTTCTGTATTTATCTTTCAATAATAAAAAATTAAATATCATCTTTGTAAATACAATTTTTATTTTTATTATTAAAAAAATAAATATAATTTACATGACAGGGTTGTGAAACTTGGCTCTCAAACTTTAATTAGTATCATGGATGATGCTTGAAGTGCGGTCACAAAAATACCTTAAACAAAAAAAATATGTTTTTGTTTAAGCTTATTTTAGAAATTTTTCAAAGGGAGAGGGAAAGAGTTTTGTTTTCTGGGGTTTTGCTTTTTGCCTACGGAATTTCTGAAGTGCGTAAGTGCGTGACTTGAACAGAAATGGTGCATACTGCCTTGTTAATCTATGGGTGAATAACTGTGATCTTAGGATATTTACTACCATTTTTTTTCAAAAAATGTATACTAAAAATGGTGGATAAAAAATATTATAAAAATATACTTGTTGTTTATCATTCGTAACATGCTCATTGCATGCGTTCTTTTTTTACTTATATGTATAGAAATCAAATTTTGACATGACGTGAGTGTTTCATTATGCCATAATCAATTTTGCTAACTGTTTTAAATATTTTGTTAACATTTACTGAGTATATTTTGCACACATATTTAACAAGCAATGTTTCCATTTAAATTTATTACGATATTCCCTCTTATCGAGTAGGTAGGCACCTAGGGGACCTTGAAAGCAAATTTTAAGGTGAAACCAGTCATATATATATAACTGTTAAGAATTTAATGTAGAGTAAAATGAAAAATTCAATATTATATTAACTCGTAAGCCTAATGAATTGATTTCTTGCATTGTGTTATCTTTTATGTAATTAAATCATAACAACTGTTATATTTAAAATAACTTGCAAAACAAGTAATATTTCTCTAGTTATGCATTATATACTAATTTCATTAAGCTGTGGTAACTATTATATATTTTTTATATTAATAAGATTATTTAATACATATTTTAAATGCAATTAAACTAAAATGCATACATAGTAAGTAAAACTTAAAAATCTATTATATGTTAAATTAAATATATAAATTATCACATAAATAAATAAATATATAAATCTCTAAATTAAATTAGCATCTAAATCAACATGCCTTAAATAATAATAATAAATCATAATTCTTCTTAAAAAAAATATTCTTCTTATGTTATTGCCTGATGCCTACTAAGTATACAACTACTTACTGCTTTATCGCAAACCAAGTGAAATCATGTCAAAGATTAGTTAACACGTTCGAGCAAGAAGCCCGTCTAGCTCAGTCGGTAGAGCGCAAGGCTCTTAACCTTGTGGTCGTGGGTTCGAACCCCACGGTGGGCGTTTTCTTTTTCAACTTTTGTCTTGCCAAAACGACGTCGTTTCACCTCAATTTTAATCTTAAACCCTTTGAGAGAGAGAATGCTATGCATTATCTGGTTTAATTGGTCTTTTGCTATTGAATGTAAATTGTATATTTGTTATGGCCTGGACAGGGGCAAGGAATACTTGTCCTTAACAATGGTATTGGTGCTTGCACTGCATCAACAGTACAAGGGTAAACTTTGTGAGGAGGATCCAAGAGCAGTGTGTCAATATTTTCTATATTTGCTTGAATTTCATTTTTCTAATATATATCAGTGTTATCCTCAATATGATTTGCCCATCTACAGAACTAAACCTTGTTTACTTTTTAGATATTTGATGATTCATTGTGATTCAGGTAAGTGAATGTGACGATAAATTGCTTACTAAGCGCATGGCTGAACAAAGAGGAAATCAGTCGTCATGAGGCAAAAGAAAGCAATGCCTTTTACTTTTACTTTTTTCTTTTTCTTTTTTTTGTTTACTTCTTTTCGAACTCTCCTTTTTTTAATGTGATTTTGTAACACGAGCCATTAAGAAGTCTATGGAAATGGATGTTTAATTTCAATTTCTAACTCATTATTTTACAGTTAAGCTTATGTCACTGAATTAGGGGAATTGCACTTTTGTAGATTTACAGAAGTGCCACCAACATCCAACACTGTTCATAAAAAAATTACTTCCTGCTATTCATTATATACAACCTTATTCATACATTATAATGGATTAGGAAAGATTTATTATTATAACATTACATTAGAGCAATTATTTGCAAATAATTACATAATTAAAATTTGGTGAATTTCAGCGTTGCAAAACATACAATAGAATAGAAGTACAGTGTATCCTAGGATGCCGATAAGAAAAATACAACTGCTAGTAACGTGTCTTAGAACCAAGAAATTTCCTGAGAGAGTGGTATTCGAGTCTATTATACATATGAAGCCATTTTTACAAATTGCAAATGAAGCAATCCACAATTATCCAAAGTGTTGCAGTGCGTGTATTTTTAACCTGAATCAATCCAATTCCATTTCACGGATGGTTCGTTATGATTCCTAAAATGGCCACCTTTCTCTGTTACCTCCTCTTCCTCTTCACACCCTTGTCCCACTCTCAACCAGATCGAGTCATGAGAACCCTCCACAATGGGCACCACAATGAGTACTTCGAAGTGAGTTACCCTCCACCGTCACACGAACCCACACCCACGTGTTCCCACCAAATCATTCACCACTCCTTCGCCCACACCATAGATACACCTCCTTACACCACCCCCTATGCGCCTCCCCTTGGCTGCCCCGCACCCTGGTCGCGTGTGGTGCTTCACTTCCACGCGAGGTGCAAAGGCGAACAGTACGACCGCATCGCCGCCATATGGCTCGGCGGCGCCGAACTCTTCCGCACCAGCACCGCCCAGCCCACCGCTTCTGGAATTGCCTGGAACGTCCGAAAAGACATCACTAAATACTCCTCTCTCCTCGCCAGGTCCGACCTAGACCTCACTATGATGCTTGAAAACGTCATCAACCGCGAATTCACCGGCGTTTATCAAGTCAGTGTTACTCTCTGGTACTACAACAAGTTCGCCGTTAGAGTTCCGTTTGTCCCTTGCCCCGAGAGTAACATTTTGAATCCACAGTCTCGATCGAGGTCTCTTATTCAGGAATCACAGGTAACGGGTTTATGGGATAATGAATCACCGGCTGATTTGATTATTCCGATTTCCGACGACGGAAAACGAGGGTTTTGGTTCAAGGTGGAGGAAGAGAAGGTTTTGAGGTCCCGGAAAATTCAAATTCCGCGGAATACTCACCGAGCTGTTCTTGAATTGTACTTGTCTTTCCATGGAAACGATGAGTTTTGGTACTCTAACCCGCCAACTTCGTACATCACGGCGAACGGTTTAACGACGGGGCGTGGTAACGGAGCTTACAGGGAGGTGTATGTCACGATCGACGGTCAGGTTGTGGGGTGGGAGGTTCCGTTTCCGGTGGTTTTCACCGGTGGAATTCACCCTTTGTTCTGGGAACCCATGGTGGCGATTGGGGCTTTTAATCTTCCTTCATACGACATGGATTTGACGCCGTTTTTGGGGAAGCTTTTAGATGGGAAAAAGCATGTTTTTGGAATAGGGGTAGCAAAGGGCATCTCGTTCTGGCTCATCAATGCAAATTTGCACCTTTGGATTGATCATGAATCCTCGGTGGTTCATGCCAACCCAGTGGTTCACCACAGTCCTGAAACAAACATTGAACACCAAGAAGAGTTTAGTGGGCTTGATGGGGCGTTTGAGGTAGAAGCAGAGAAGGAAACACAGGTTACAGGGTGGGTTATATCCAGTGCTGGCAACATCACCACCACCATATCGCAGGGATTCTCCTTTAGGAACTTCATCAAGTTCCAACATAATGGAACTACCAAGATGGTTAAGCAGAAGTTCAAAGCCAAGAAGAAAGTGAAGGTGATCAATGGTAGAGGTGAATCAATTACTACCTTGAAGGTTAAGCGCAGATATCCTCTGCGAGTGATTACTTCCACACAACAATTTCAGGATGGAATGTATCGGCTTGTGGCCAATTTTTCTCATGCTCTCGTCGAGAAGTATATTAGTGGGTGCTTCATAAATTCTATTGATAACGTCCAAAATTCGAAGGGCTGGATGGAGGTAAAGGGTCACTCTGTCGTGTCAGGTCAAGCAAGCACCACACAAAGTTATAGTTACATTGATAGGTTCAATTGCTACAATCGGAATGTTGCAGCATCTAACGGCAGGATTGTTGCGGATAATTCAACTTTTGTGTGTGAAAATTCTTTGTAATTCCTTTTGCTGGTAGTACCTATTTGTAGTTTTCTGTATAGTGTGTTCTTTTGGGAGGAGGAATGTGCAGTACCTTTTAATGCTCCATCCTTGCATTAATCTACAAAATTACTTTTAACTATTGAGTGCTTGCAGAGGTTACGTAAATTATCAATCACACAGAGGAACATAAGTTTCCGGCAAAATTATATTAGAAAAACAATAAACTTCTGTACTCCTAACAAATTCACTATAAATAAATAAATGTCTCGAATAAATATTCCTTTTCTTAAAATTATTTTTTTCTCACTTCTAAGTTATATCTAGAAGATGCCGATACACCAGAAATGAAGAATGCGTCATGTTCATTAACCCCATACATTCAAGAGCTCGCAGGACGCCAGAAACTCTTTCTACCAACAAGAAACTGATTTTGATGCAAAAATGCAGACCAGTGAAGTGAACGCAAGATTGGATTGAGCTTGCTAAGTACTTCTTTAGAATCGTAAACTACAAAATATCCACCTGGTCTCAATATGCGATCTATCTCCACAACCACATCTACAACATCACATCTGACAAAGATTGTAACTTATCAGGATCATATCGTCACTTATATTCTTTCAATAATCTTATAGGTATTGGTTTATTCAATAAGCATACCTTTTCTCAAGATATTTAAAAAGAAAACTCGAATGAAGGAGATCATATGTGCGAGGATAGGTATTAAAGGACTCGCACCAATCATGATACATTCCTGCTAATCCCCTGTCCAATATAATAGAGAGAGTGTCCGGTACATCAATCGGTACCACATTCATCACCCAGAGTGGTAGATCAATGAGAGCTGTGGCAAATCTGAAAACACAAACGCTGTCAGTTTCAAATTTCAAAAAAGCTGGCGAGTTTGTGATGATGCAACAAAGATAATGTAAATGTAAATATCAAAGATGATTGGCATTAATAAAGCTATATGTACATCTGCACAGATCCAGTATACAGGTATGTAAGTATATGGATGTACCACTACATAGGCCCTCAAAACGACCCGTATTCTACAAAATAATGTAAAGGGAAAGAAGAAAAAACGACTATTTTGTATGTAGGTATACTTTACCCTGCATAACCAGCATTCATGTCCATAACGTTTCTAACACTTGTCCAGTTTATAGAAAGACCGTTCGCATAAACATCTGAAACTAATTCAGACCAACGCTTACTGTCCTTGAAGAACTTGTTATTGGCATCAGAATCAGCAGGTAAGCTAGGGGGCTCACTGGTAAGCCTCTGGGGCCAAGGCATGGGCCAGCTCTGCAGGTTACCCATACCATCAACTGGAAGAGGTGTGAGACAACTACTAAGTCTGGCGTACCTAAACATAATCGTGCAGCGAAAGTCAGCAAAGAAAGAAACTAAACTAAAAATAGTGTTTAAGCATATCATTGCCACCAATGGTCCATGCACAATTTATCCAATCTAGTTTTTTAGGGGGCCAATGTTTTTTAATTCCTTTCTTTCATGTTGGCATTTCTTGGAAAGAATGAATTGACGGAAATGTAAATGTCAGAGAAATAAGACACCCCCCAGCAAAAAATGAGAGAGAGAAAGTAAGTACCACGAGCTGTTCTTCCCATCCTTATTCTCACACAAAGGCGGATTCTTCTCTTCACGTTTCTCATAGCAAGAAGTCGAGGTTGGCTTCTGGTATATAACAAGCCCAATTCCAGATGAATCGCGAGCCTTAGCCACTACCTTCCAGCACATAGCTTTTGTTATAGCCACCATGGCTGCAGTTTAATAAAAATAAATAAATGAAGTTTACTTCTCTAACACAAGGGATAAGAAGCCAAAACCATTGATCTCCCATGTAATAATAATTTGTTTGGTTATTTGGGGCATGGGACATTATTATTGGATCATACAAAGTCCCAACATCTCTATGCAATTATGCATTAAATAAGATATATTTTCAATGCAGATAAAAATACTTCAACTACAATGAAAGGAGAGACAATAACGCAAAGAAACAGACATAAAGTGTAGGGGGTGAAAGACAAACCATTCCATACTCCTTGATCTCTTTCATCAGCACGGTAAACTGGTGTTGCAGACCATGCAAAGAAACCTCCGGGTCTAAGAATCCTGTTGAGCTCAAACAAGGGCTTCCCACCTAAAGTTGTGACCAGATTTATGAATTAACGTTTCTATCAGAGATCGACGTAAATAGGCCATGGAAGGAAGTTATAGAAGGCAGTCCTGACATGGAAATAAGAAAAGAAGAGAGGTACCATTTGCATCCCAATGAACCCTGCATCTTGCACAATGGATCAAATCAAACCCATTGTCAGGAAAAGTCAACTTTTGTGTTCCAATGACAGAAAGTGTTGCAGGAATTCCTCGCTCCAAAGCAAACTGTATCTGAGCTTCATGTTCATCCTTTGGGGCAAATGACATAGTAATAACATTTCTGTCCAGCAGATATCCACCAAAGCTAGCAACACCGCAGCCAACATCTAGAACAACCCTGATATGCTTTCCCCATTGAATTGCCGGTAATGTCTGGTGTGAAAACAAAAAACAATCAGCAAACCACAAAATGTAGCAAGTACTCAAAAACTCGTCCCACCAACTTAACACATGTAATGAACTTGTGTAAATCAATGCAAAAATTAAATGGAACATTGCTTGGCACTCGTTAAATCAAAATGAAACAAAATATCATCATTTTTTATTGGATAAAACAATAAACGGCGCTAACGGCCATGAGTTAAAAGACGCCAACTCCTTATGTGAGATGTTAGACAACTTCCATCCTATGTTGCAATATTAGAATATGAGTACGACAATATATTAAGTAAAATATATCTACATATGTCATATTAAATGTTTCATTACAATTTTGAGCAAATCTTAGTCAAATAATAACTTTCTAAAAGAAAATTTCCTAAAAACAAACCCTAAAAAAATCACTAAATATAAAATTATCACACTAATAGAGTTTCCATCAATCCTAGAGCAAAGCAACAAATGCTACTATATCCAACTGGACTACAAACAAAAAAAAAAATTCAGCCTCACTATTCTCTAATAATATATACCTACTTCTCCAGCCTAATATGCCTAATCATAAGCTCCAAGCTTTTTGAAGTGTTTACAAGATATCAATGCGTAGGCCAAGCAAAATACAGTTGCTCATGTTTTACGGCAGGCTGGTGGCTGGGATTCAAATGCCTTGGTTCTTACTTCTTAGATGTATTGTTAAAGGAATAATCCATATCAGAAGTAAAGTTCCTTCTCATTCCCTCTCCAACTCCTCCTAGATAGTTTCTTTTTTCAACAATTGATTACAGTTTCTCCGTATCTATATCAGTCATACATGGAGAGAAAATATTGATGTGCATATCATAATTATGGTAATTTATGTGAATCCAGATGACAGCATACCTTTTCTATGAACTCAATATAATGATCAACTCCATCTTTGAATTGAGTACCACCACCTGGAAAGACCAGATATTCCCCAGACTTCACTACCCAGCGTTGGTCTTTCTTGTATTCGACTAGCTTTGGATAAGGAACGTTATCATACCAAATCTGAAAATAAAGGAAATATAAAACTAATAATAACCACATATTTAAATAGATAAAAGTAGAAATCAAATATTTAACTAATAATAACCATGATTACTTTCACAAGCAAATAAGATTAAATCAGATATGTGACAATTCATAAAGCAAAACCTATGCAGAAACAGGTAGAGCTGTTAAGAGTCCACGTTTATTAAGTGAGCCTGCAGAGTATGTAACCGATTAAGTAGAAGAGTAATGTCCAGAATATAAGTGCTCAAGAAGATTATAAAATTTTACTCCATCAACTTCAAAACATAAAATAACATGGTAATTTATTCAAAGTATATTGGAGAAAGATTAAATGACATTTAAACTAGATGGTGTATCACACCCAAAAGTTCTGATAAGGAGCAAAAGGCACCTTAAGGTTTTCTATATATAACATTACTCTTTTATATGCTTAAGGGTATGTTTATGCAGAGAGGGAACAAATATTTAATTTTTAAATTAAGAGAATTATATAGTATTTATAAAATAAATAAAAGATTAATACATTAGTTTTAAGTTCAGTTAGGTAAAATTAGGTGAAATTTTATAATTTAGTTTATAATTCCAAACTTATAATTTATAACTAACTAATCATTTATCTGTATAACTAGATATTAAATGACGAAAAAAAGGGGTTAGAATTTTGTGTTATTTTAAATTAATTAAAAAGTTAAGAGTTAAACTGTTACTTGATGACAGCTACGACAGCGAGACCGAAATTGATTCTGAGATGTCCAAACAAGATAGAGGATTGAAACCACTTTAACATAATCAATCATATGAATCCATTATAAACCACAAAATTTCTTACCGAAGTATCAATCTCACCATGTCCCTGCTCTTAGGCCAAGGAACTGGCACTTTATACCCTTTGGGAAGGGAAAGCAAACAGTGCAGACTATTCTGAGGACAATGCCTTTCCCTGTGCTCCATGTGCCTCCGAGACTTAAGAGCCTTAATCGCCTTAACATTATCTAAACACGGAATATAATCAACCGACACTGAGTCCTCACATAGCTTCCAATCAAATGAATCCATAATCTCATCAACCGACACAGAACTCTTCTCGGCAGTGACATTGGTCACGTTTGGGGGTAGTTTTTGCTCTTTTGGAGAATCAGGAGGTGCTTGGGAAGGGTTGAAGTGTGGTTGCTCTTTGATATCGGTATAGAAAGCAACAGGGTTTGAGGTGGAGGTGGAGGTGGTGTTGGTGAAGAGGAGGAGCGTGAAGCAAATGAGCAAGACCAAGAGAGTCAAAATGAATGGATATTTTCTCTCCTTGACCAAGACTTCAACTAAATTTGCCATTCGTTTTTTCACTCTGCTTAAGGGAGACAGAGAGATACACGGGTTAACGAGGAACAAGGGAACATGAACAAGATGAATTGGATTGTAATCTCTGAATCGTGTGGTTTTCCCTCGGATCCTAAAGAACGCAGCCTCAACTCAATCCTAGGATCTCGCACCATCCAAGACACGCGTTGACACAGATAGTCGCCGGCCTGTGCTTTGTTTTACAGGATCCTGCGAAAGTATTAAAATTATTATATACAGTAAGTTTGGCCTTTAAACTTTAGTTGAAAATTATATCAAAATAATTATGTACAGTTATTAATTGTTGTAATAATATAATTTTAATTAATAAAAATAATTAATTTTAAATAAAATAATGATATTAAAATATTGTATCATATTTTTTATACAAATATTTAAATTTTATTAATTTCTCTAGAATGGGGTTATTTAACATGTAAGATAATCTGTACAAAACTATTGTAGTTCAGTGCCAGTTGGTTGCACGAGCTTCCGGTCTTCTCCAACCGTGCATAACTTAGCTCCCCATGTTATTATTTTAAGTTAATGTTTTTTGGTGAAATATTTTAAGTTAATGTTTGTCCCATCGATTGAAGGATTGTTATTGCAATTTTAACAAACCAAACGTCTATCTATCTATCTATAATCTATATATACACCAATTACAGGTATTAACATAAAAAATTAAATGATTAAATAATAAAAAAGACAATAGATCTCATTTATAAATAATTATAAGAGCTGTTATTAGAAAATAAATTATTCTAAAATTTAATAATTTTTAATGATATATTAACTCATAATTCAATGATAATAAAATATATTTACAGTGTTAATTTGTTTTAATTAAGTTCATTGAATAATTATGAAAGTCTACAGAATTGAATAACTAGGTATTTTCATGTGATACATTCATTAAAGTTTGTTTCGATGCAATTTCGAAGGCAAATGAAGAAAGAAAACAGTTTTTTATTTTTTCAACTTCCATTTTCTTTAACTCCCGCTGTAATAAGAAATTATCTATCACTGGTGAATAGACACATAATGTTAAAATTTAAATACAACTTATTAAAGATTTAAAATACTTTAAAACCTTTAAATATTTTTTATAATTTGATATAATAATTTTTTTAATATAAATATTATTTATATTTATTACTTTTTTAAGTTAAATTATATATTTAATCTTTATAATTGACGTGTTTACAAATTAATCTTTATATTTGATAAAATTATATTTTAATTCTTGTACTAATATTTTATTTTTTACATTTTTAATTTACACTATTAATAATATTATAACAGCAAGAATTAAAATATAACCAAGCACAATATAATTTTTTAATTATAAAAATTAATTTATAAACAAGTATTAATCATACGAATCAAAGATATATTTTAACAAAAAAAAATTATTGTTAGTACATTTTGTTTAAAAATAAGTAAAAATGGGATATCAAATAAAAAATATATAACCTTTTGAAATTAGAAACTCATATATTTAAATTAAAAATTGTTATTTGTAATTTAAGATCATGCATATGTATTAATATAGAATTTATTAATTTTGTAAGTACATAAATCAATAATTTTTTAATTATAATTATTAAATACTACAAATAATTCACGTAGAACAAAATTTTTTTATTACAATTAAAAATGACTATATATATGTGATATTTTGTATGGATAAAATATTAAAAAAATATAATAAAGATCAACTAATAATATTTTGAATCAATGTAATGAAAATTATTTATTATATTATAATAAAAAAAACTTATAAATTTATTTGTATAATAAAATTGGTTCTCTTAATTTAAAATAACAAAGAAAATTTATATTTTAAATGTAATAAATATTTTATTTCTTCTAATTTTTTCAAAAATTATATAAAAATAATGTATTATATAAGAAGCTTATTATATATAAATTGAGATAATTATATATTAAAATATTATAATAAAAATATTAACATTTTTTTTGTAAAATCAAGATAAAGAGTCAAAATATAAATTTATTTATTAATAAATAATAATATTATGAAAATAGGATTGAGTTATAACATTAGTCTTTTTTCATCTAATTTTGGTATAATGCATTTTTTTAAAATTGTAATTAGTTAAAAGATACATTATGTTCATATTTTTACACGAATTACTCATTATACTTACAAAAAATTATATTTAATTCCGGTACAAATATTTTGTTATGTTAGTTTTTTCATTTGTTAACAATATTATAACGACAATTACTACAATGTAACAAAACACTCATGACTAAAGTGTGTATCTTTAAAGTACATAGATTAATTTGTAAACAAATGTCAAGTATAAATTAAATTTATAATTTAACTCATTTTGTATTATATATTCACGTAGCTAGCTTTATATATTAATAAAGTGAACAAGCTTTATATTTTTAAACATTTTTCATAACGATGAATAATTGATTTTTGATGATTTTTTTCCCACTTACTTATGACAAAAGCATATATATTAAGTAAAAAAGATCTTATAATAAATAGACAGTACACTTAGTAGGTTTCTTCTTCTTCTTCTTCTTTTCATGACATGTTTAGGACTATCAGAGAGGAATAATACCATAAAATAAACCCAAGCAGACATCTGAAGTATTTCGATAATTAAAAAATCACAAACATTGAGATCAAATGATATTTACTATGGTCTCTTTATTGGGCAAGGTGTTTTACTCGAGTTTCTTCTCTATCTCGCTTTTCTTTGTCCGGTTTTTTATCCAACTATTGAAATAATTAAAATACAATTTTTATTTTTAATTTATTAATGCTCTACACAATTCTAATGGCTAAGATTTTATCTATTTCTTATTAAAAAAGGGAAAAAAATACATTCATATTTTACTTGGACTATGATCATCTTCATTTACTGTAGGGTCTGTTGAGAAAAAAAAAAGTCTTATGAATGTTTGTGATTTTTTAATTATCGAAATATAAAACATCATTTGATCAGATTACATAATATAAAACATCTATGACAATATAAAACGAGAGTGAAGCTAATCAATACATAAAACATCTATGAAAATTTTTAAGATCAGATTCAATTTTTTACACAAATATAAAGGAAAAACACACAATCTGTGAAACTTAGGAACTTCTCATCTATTTGTTATATTTTTTACTATAATAGGTTCTAGATTTGTATAATTTTTACTGAGATAGAAAATTAATTGACACGTAATGCTCTTAATTAACCTTATATAATTATAAATATACTGATATAGAAGATTACATATGTTGCCCTTCAAAATGGAAATATTCGTGTAAAGAATTACAATTATTGTTCTTAAAAAATGAGAGTGAAGCTAATCAATACATATCGCTTTCAGTCTTTCCCCAACAGAAATCTTAGCCGACTCGAAAATATTGCTCGAGTGGAAAATATCTGTGATATAAACAAAAAAATATCAACTAATTAGGAAATAATTTTAACACAAAATAATATTAAAATAAAATATCCGTTGTTATAATTTTTTTAATATTTTAATTTGTACTCTGGACCACTTGAAGTTTAGAATAAATTTATATATAAAAAAAAAAACTCAAAATAAGTTATACCCTTGATTCTCATTACTTGTTATTATTAAATTTATATCATAGTATCAACTTTTAAAAGTTAATTTTAAACACTTAAAAATAATATTTTATTAAAAACAAAATATTTATTACAATTCTATATTTTAATATAATAAATATACCTTTAAGAAAAGAAATCATTTTAAATGCATATATCAATACCAAAAATTGATATGAACAAAACTAAAAAATAAAATAAAAATCTTCCCAACAGAAACATTTTTAAAATGATTAAAAAAAAAAAGCAGAAAGCAAGAAAGTAAAACGCACATGGTGCACTGGGTAGGTTTATGATTAGAGACGATAATGGATCATGAGATGACACTTACCTTAATAATAATCCGTTTTCCATTTATAACCCCCACACACTTTCGCTTCATCTCTTTGCCCACCACCACCCTCTTTCACTTCCAAAAACCCTTTTTCCCCTTTCCCTCATTCCCTTCTCATGTGGCCACCGTGGTTGAACTCACCCAGCCGGTTCCGAAACACTCCACCGCCGTCACCGTCGCCGCCGCATTCTCGATCTCGCTCTTTCAGCTTCTCTTGCTCTTCCTTCAAAGACATTCAAAGCCTCCTCCAAGACAAACCCGATCCGGAACCCGCTTGCCCCAAATCCCCCTCCCTCTTTCGCCGCGTCCGCATCTCCACCGCCGTCCTCCGCGCGTGGGGCGCCTCACGCGCCTCCGTCCCCGCCGCATTGCCTCCCGGCCTCGACCAAGGCGTCATCGTCTACTACACCAGCCTCCGCGTCGTTCGCCGCACCTTCGACGACTGCAGAGCCGTCCGATCCATCCTCCGAGGCTTCCGCGTCGCCGTGGACGAGCGCGATGTGTCTATGGACGACCGATTCCTCGACGAACTCCACAAAACCCTCGGTCGCCGGAACGTGACGCTGCCTAGGGTTTTCGTCGGCGGCGTATACGTCGGCGGCGCCGACGACGTCCGGCAGCTCCATGAGAGCGGCGAATTTCAGCGCTTGATCGAACGGTTACCGAGGTCGAATCAGAACGGTTGCGATTACTGCGGAGGGTTCAGATTCGTGATGTGCGATGAATGCAACGGAAGCCACAAAGTGTTCACGGAGAAGAACGGGTTCAGAAGCTGTTCCTCTTGTAACGCTAACGGCTTGATCAGGTGCCCTGCATGTTTCTTCGTGCTCCCGCGCCCCACACGATAGCTACTCCCGCAGTTAGTTACAGCTCATACACAACTCACTCAGTGAAGACAGAAATTAATCATTTATGTTGATAAATAAACTCAAGAGTTTTTAATCTATGTTACATATATTTATTAATCATGTAGCGTTGAGAATCTTCCGGTTTGTCTGAATAGGCTTATGTTATTAAATTATATAATATTATATTATATGGTATATTAGGAGGTAGGTTTGATTTGTTGTAATGGCTTTTCAACATTAATGATTTTCACATGGAGCAAGCCATGTACTGACAGCAACACTGCTCGTATGATCTTTGTGGGAGGTTCAATGAGCAGGGAACATTGTTTGAAATTATGTGTCTGCTAGGTGCTGCCAAATTTGCTCCGAATCATCAATGTTATTCTCACCATCTTCGATTCATTTTTTGTTCTTGCTCATGCAAATTAATCATTGGGACAGACCCTAGACAATGTCGTAGGAGGTGGGAACCGCGTATGTTGGACTTTGTTTAGGGCCTCGCCCATTCACTACCTCCTTGCCTTCTTTTTTTATTTCTGGGCCCACTTCTTTTATAGCACAAATTTCTTGATTCTCAATTCTCGTATCCCCCATGGTAAAGTGACCCCATCTTGTCTCTCAATTTTCATTTATTTTTTTAGCGTATATGAGATGAAATGGACTTCGATAAGGTTTAAATTAAATGCTATATTTTATGTTCCTAAAAATGTATAGATTTTTAAAATTAGTTTTTTGTATTTGTTTTTGGTTTTTTAAAATTATAAAAGTTCTGTGCTTCTAGTCCCTTGTGAGAGAATAAAATTGTGTTATTTTTTTGTTAAATATGAATAAAGTTCTGTAGGGATTAAAGAAATTTATATTCAAAATATTATACTAACGATGCGTCGAAGATAAAGTTTTGTTGGGACTAATATCATTTAATAATTGTTTATCTTAACAATGCCTCAAAGATACGATAAGTGTTCATTGGATAGTTAGAAAACCGTAATTCATGAAATGGTGAGTGTTAAATGGATCGTATTCATGACTCTAGGAATTCATTATCCACATTAAATCAGAATGGAAATGTGTAGAAAGTTATGAACTAGGATGGACATTTATCCAAAAATTTCTTCGAGGAAAAGTACATTAGTGCCTTGCCGAGCTCGATAATAAGACATATATTAAATGGGTTTTATTTTATTTACTATAATCTGAATTTTGTCCAGTAATATTAGGATGTTCTGTATTAATTAGAAATATGAGCAAAATACTTTATATGGCAAGGAACTACAGGAATCATAGTATAATTTCATTGAAAGAGGATGATTGGTGTTGCAAACTCTGCACATCTTTTAAAATTTATTAAGCTTAGTTTTTTTAATAAATGGACTAATCATGTAAATGAAAAGTTGGATTTAATTCAAGGATTGCTTTCAATGAGCTTTCTTTTACTAATTCAATGTGTTTAGGCTTTGTATTTTGGTATATCTTATGCTTGTATCTAAATCCTAAAGAACACAAAATGTGGCCATCGTGTTACTTGCGACATAAAGCAGAGCTCCTACCCACTATACTTTTTGATGCTGTATCACTGCTTTCCCGACTCATTAGACAGGATGACCGGTAATTGATTGGAGTGAAATTAAAAGGAAAAATAATGCATTTACACATAATATATGTTATTATATTTTCTATTTTTATTTTTATTTTTATTATCAGTCTTACCCAACACACTCGAATCTGGTATTAGAAAAGAAAATGTTACAAAACATTTCGACATAATATATTATTTGACCAGCAAAGTTTCCACATAATAAGTTTTATTATCAGAAATTTTTTGACATAATAGATGTGTAGATATATTTCTTGTCATCGTCATCACTCTTTTTTTTTTTTTTTTTTTTCCTTTGAAATTATCCCTAACTCACACACTTTGATATTTTAAAAACCGTAAAATCTTCTTCAGACTATAAGGCGCTTTTATATATAATTTTTTTATATCATTCATACAATTAAATAGTAAACGGCTGGAACATAATTGCTTCTGAGTAGAAAAAAAATCATATATTTTTTCTGTTTGTATATATGCATATTACGCACCGCTTTTGATTTTCATAACGAAGTGAGGAAGGAACCACAGTATATTGCAATAGAATAGGATACAGACATTAACATGTATTGTTTATCTCACTTTGCTCATGGCTTGATGGAAACAACGTAGTGTGAAGTTTAAACGCAGGCTTTGGTCAACCTTTTTGAACGCTTCAACAGAATGTGCAAATTAAACAATATGATAAGGTTAGTGTTTTTTAAGTGGATTTTTTTTAATGTACATAGTTTCAACTTAAGACTTTTCATAATAAAAATTCAGCATGTGTCACTTAAATCAATCACTTTTTAATATTTTTATTTATATTTTAATAAAATATTTCAGTAAATTATTATTTAGATTTGTTAAAAATACTAAAGGAGTAGCTTTTTACTATACTCTTTCTAGAAAATAAGTATAAGAATATTATCATATTATGCATAATATAGTGATTTAAATTAATCGTTCTACAATTTTATCTTTTATTTTTTAAAATGTGTTTTACAATATTGATTTAATTATGTTTTTATCCTTAAAATAATTACACTTTTTATATTTAGTTTTTTATAAAAAAAATTGTTCAAATTTAGTTCTTAATTTTTTAAACTTATCAGAAAACATAAAAGTTAAATAACAAAAATTCAACTCATCACTCTAACATTATTTACTTATTTTTATTATTTTGTTCTTTAAAAGTTAATATTTATACCTCCCTTCTTATCTCTTTCCCTTTTCTTCTTGCTTTTGTAACATGGAAACTATTTTTCTTTCTCCATTGAAAACTCCATCATCACTCCAAGGGTGCTAAAGTTGAGAAGGAACTCGACCAATAAAAAAACAATAACACTCTCAAGCTTCTTTTATAGATTCTAACCTTGAAATCTTTTTACTTCATTTCCTTTTTCAGCTCTTCCACCACCTCTCCCTCAGGCAGCGATGTCACACCACTGCCACCACCATCATTCTTTCCACCCTTTCTCCTCTTACTGATGTCTTCACATCGTTGGAATCTCTCCTTCAATATTGGCGAGATTTGTCATCACCACTGCCATGTTAGCAATCTTCATATTTCTAGTATTCTACAAATATGCACTTCTTGCAACCTCTTCATAAACGACACTAGTTCAAACATTTCTTCCATTAAAGTCTTTATCTACTTCACCTTCAAAGCCTTGAATCTTACCATTTTTTCTTCCTCAAATTTGTTGCTCTCCTTTTCATAATTGTTGGGGTTGACAAAGTCACTATTCACTGTTAGAATTTGTATGCATGTGAACGAGATCAATATTATTCAAAACGGTTCCTTGTGCATGAAGAATGCTAATGTAGAGACAAAGCTTAACAATGTTTTGGGGTTTGATGGAGGAAGAGGGTGACTAGTATTTGAGGGACATTTTTTAAATAACATAAATATTTCTAAGGACTTTTTAATATTGATTTTTAAATAATAAAATATTAAAAATAATTATAAAATACATGTGATAAAACAGTGATAGTGATGAATTGATTTTTTATTATCTAGTTTATCATTTAAAAAATTTTAATTAACCGTAAGGATCCATTTTTAATGTGTTTAAAATATTAGAGATTAAATCTTAACAAATTTTTTATATAAAAACTAAATTCACGTAGTACAGATTTTTTAGAATAAAAAAAATAATTAAGCATACAATATTTCATGAAACGTTGAATTGAGTCAAATTGAAACAATTTAAAGTATAATTGAGCTAAAGCCCAGTATAAATATGTTTAATTTAAATAAATTTTGAGCAACCTTGTTATAAAAATGCTCCTGATTAAGTGCTTATATACATGCGATTTGAAACGAAATTCACTCAATAGATTTTTTTTTGTTTGACAATAAAACATTAGAGAATTTTATATACTTATATTACACAAAGAAATGTGTAAATTCTGCTTGACCAATTAAACAAAGTTAAGTTGTGCATATTTAAAAGAGTGTTTGACCCACACAAACGTGCTTCCTTAATCTATAATTCCCCTTAATACTTGTTATTTATACTTTTTAGATTGTTAAAAAATTTCAACTCTAAATGAAATCGTGTGTGTTTAGACACGTTAATTAAAGGAAACAAATGTTACAAAAGAAAGAAAAAACCAATGCTGTCTTAATCAATTTTTGATGACATATTACTGAAATGACACATAAGTAACCCTCATCTAAACGATATCGAAATAAATTTTTTATTTTATATTTTACTTTGTTTTAAAATATATATTAAATTACTTATTTACATATCGTGCATAAATTATTCATAATTTTTAAACTAAATTTTAACTATATCGTTTTAAGATGTATCTGGGATATTCTATGGCTTAAAATATATTTTATGTTTTTATACATGTAATATTTTTTTTTTAAAAAAAATAGTCTTCCAAATTTTAATTTTTTTAAAATCAATTTTTATTTTATTTTATGATAATATGATATATTTCTAATTATTTTAAAATATTATTTTTAAAATATTAAAAATTTGTAAACTAAAATTTAATTAAATTTATGAATATAAAAAATATATAAAATTTATATAAAATAAGCCACTAATAAAAGTAAAAATTATTTATTATACATTTATAACGTTGATATAATAAATATTTGTTATTTAAAATTATTTAATTTCAACTTTTAACAAAACTCAAAATATGTTATATATTATATATTTTATTTATTAGCCGCTTATGCCGAGAGAGTTTGAGGAAATCAATGTCCAAGAATGATGATGTGTCAACATCTATGTACAGAGTAGTTCTTTTGTCATAGTCAAGAGCGAGGTCAGTGATTTAACTTTCTAAGCAAAGGGTGTTCTGACCCTATTATAACATCAACATCCCCAAACCAAAGTCATGAGAAAGCATTTTTTTCCCCAAAATTCAACGGTCACGTCTGCTAGTAAGCACCAATTATTCAAATTAGTATCTCCACATTTATGCTCACTTTACAAAAATTCTACACATAAACTTAAGAGATTAACCAATTGTTTATATTCAACTGACAATTTGGACACAAAAAAATTAAAGCAACTCTCGAAGAAAATATGCTTACCTTAATGCGCAGCCTTTGTTTTTTTCCCATTACTTTTTTAATCACAAATGTAGGTAGATACATAGAATTTGCTGTAAAGCTAGAAAAGAAAAATATGATATTGCAAGAGGAAGAAGAGAAGACCATGTCAAATTTATCAAATTTGAACAAGTAAAATAATCCAACTTGTTCCATCAGGCACGACCCAAATTGTATTCTCATTCCCCATGTCATATGGCAGGTTGTAATTGCAAGTTAGTTTGCAACCCAATTGCATATCAAGAACATGCAACTGAATTACATTTATAATAACATGGATTAATGTAAATTTTGAAGAAAAATAATACTATAATTTATTGTGAATGATAAGTCTATACATTATGTTACAAGTTTAGGGTATGTAGTGTGTTTTTATATTTTAATTTAGATTAAAAATTATATAAAAGACACTTTAAAAAACTGCAATTAAATCTTATTATTAATTTTATAGCATAAATTATCTATAAGTAATAAGAATTTATCAATAACTTAATTAAACGATTTATTTAAATATATCTTTTTTATGTCTTGTTTAAATATATCCTTAGGAACAAGTATAAATTCTTTCAATAATAATAAAAAAAGATGTATATTTAACATTTTGTTTTTAAGTTCACAATGTGGCACAAAGGTCTTTTAACAATTCTACGATAAAGACAAACAAATACACGATGTTTTGATGTTCTAGTCGTCAAGCTAAGTCAAGTCACCAGAGCATATGAGCCATTCGTTAGAAAAATCTGTCATTTTGGATACATAATTTAATTAAAATTTTATTTAATAATTTTTAAACAATAACTTATGCTATAAATTTATTTATAAAATTTATTAAAATAAAAAAATATTTTATTTTGATAAATTATACTAAAGAGATTATTAAAATAAATATTAAAATCATAAGATATCTTCGTGAGCTATTTTTTCTCTTCTAAACGGATTTCCTTCTCAGATACATACTTTTCCTTTTAAAAGAATATATACTTGTATCTGTATAATTTTTTAATTTATCTTTTAAAATTGAAATTAAACAGATACTAAGTAAAAAATTACTACAAAAAATATGTATCTGCTGAATTATAAAAAAAATGTACATCAAAATAAAATTTTAATTTTAACAAATAAACAGCACTTACAATACTCATAAAACAACACTTAAAATTTCTGCTTCATCCATCCAATCGTTTTCTGAATTCATTACACAACGCTATCGTTTTCCCCTTCTCTGTCACCACTCAGCAGTCAGCACCAGACTTCTGCAATAACTGCTGTTTTATTTAAGACTCATGTTACTTGTACACAAGGTTTTCTGCGGACGAGAAGTGCTACTATAACATTCTTTATGGTCAATTTATTTTACAAGAAAATTATTTATTTTTTCAAAATAAATTAATTATTATAATATATTAAAATGTATATTTCAAAAACCGTGTTTATTAACATTCTTTTTTATAAACTCTTTTTAGATTCATTGTTTAAATAATTATAGCTATTTCCCCCTAAATTATGAGTACTTTATATAAGAAATTATTTTGTTTGAATTGAATATGATTATTATAAATTATAAAATTATCTCTTTAAATATTTAATCAAGTTATATTTTTATTTTTATGATGAGAAAATTAAAAAAAATTCATTTTGGTGTGTAGAATACAAGGAAGACTAAAAATTAACAAAGTTACATTTTAAAATTAATTTATTTATTTCATTTTAATAATTTTTTTATATTTTAATTAAAAATCAAAATATCATTTTCATAAAAAAAAATTAAGACGAACATAAGATCTCTTCTTCACAGTCAATACCAACTACTAATTTTAGCCAAAATTTATTATAAGATTTTAGAAGAGGTCTATAAATTTTTACTATAAAAGATCATGCAATTGGTATTAAAGAAAAAAAATGAACAATTTGTGAACCCCACTTACTGAATGTATTTAGTGAAAAAATTGATCAAATCGACCAAAATTATCTCACACCGTTTTTACATATTTTTCTGTTATTAATTTTTTTTTTATATTAATTACACAATACAGAGTTCATATCAACTTACAAATATCCTTATATCATACAGGTGTTTATGATTACAAGCAAAATATGAAAATTATATAAATTTTTTAAAAATATTTTTTATTAATAATAAAAAGTATAAATAAAAAATTTAATTTAGTACATTATTTATGTAACATTTTATACGTTATCAATTAACAAAAATATATCATGAATATATATATTAATGAAAAATTTATTTATTTTTATTAACATGACAATTTATGATTGAATGGCAGCCTAAAAATGTTTTCCACTGCTAATATATTTAAAATATAATAATATAAACATCTAAATCCTTTTTAAAAAAATATATTCACTTGATATAATATTAATTATATAAATTTTCTTAAATACTATATTATACTTATATTAATTAAAAATATGTATTACTTAAAATATTTTAAAAAATATTTTTTTGTTAAATAGTTAACTAAATTAATTAGTATAAAAATCAATAAATTTAAAAAATCATTTTTTGTCACATCAGCCTTTTTATTCTACATTTTCTTCCTTTTTGTTTTCTTAAATTATAATTATTTTGAAAAAAAAAATAGTTGTGTAAATGGCATTTCTCTTTTCCCAAAGCTGATAATAATGCATTAGAAAAGTTGTGTCAATGCATGGTTACCCTTCCACCGGTTACTATTATGACTTGTGAACTCAGCAACGCGTTTTTAAACCTTGCGGGTCCATACACCAATTTGAGTTGCAGGGGTCAGACCATGTTAGAAGAAGAAGCGGTCCATGGTTTGGTTTAGATATCACACCTTCTGCTCCATTTCTTTAGGTTGTCCTTTTCATCAATTACGTTATCAACGTTGTTTCCTTGGGATTAAACTCTGTCCAAACTATGTTTCTTGCAAAAAAAAAGATGGCTTCTGAATAGTGTTTACGTTGACAAACAACAAGAATGAGCAAGAACAGGAAACTCATTCGGTTCAGCAATCTTTGTGGGCTTTCGCGCTTTCTGGTGGTGTTCTTGTTGTTTCACAACTTGGGTTTGTGCTGTTCTTTAAATGATGAAGGTCATGTTCTTTTGAAGTTGAGGCAGAGAATAGTGAGTGACCCTTTTGGTGCTTTGTCAAATTGGATTGACGATGAAGCAGTTCTTGACCCTTGTAATTGGTTCGGAGTTGAATGCTTAGATGGAAGAGTTGTGGTCTTGTAAGTACTGATTCTTTCTGTTATCTTTTTCTCTCTCTTTATTTGTCATCAAATGAGACATCCAAGTTGTGAAAGTTTCCTTTATTTTCTCTTGGCAAAATCTTATGCTCACTTTGCTCTTTAGATTGTCATAGTAATTTAACTTGTAACTCAGAAGTTATCAACTACACTGACAGTGGCAGTTATGATAATAGTTTTGGAACATTAGTCTCTTATATTAAATTAAATTACTAGTGTTCATATTGTTAAATTTGAGAGATTTTTAATCAACAAAAAAATTTCCTTCGATCAGGAATTTGAAAGATCTCTGCCTTAAAGGAACTCTGGCACCTGAGATTATGAACCTGGTACACATAAAGTCTATGTAAGTAATTATTTGTTACTTAGTTGCATTGTCTCCGACTATCATAGTTCCTTCCTTAATGATTTCTATTTTCGCCTTCATTCTAATAACATTATGATGAATACGCTGCAGTATTTTGAGGAACAACTCATTCTTTGGGACCATACCTGAAGGATTTGTTGATTTGCAAGAATTGGAGATTTTGGATTTGGGATACAACAACTTCAGTGGACATCTACCTGCTGATCTTGGGAGTAATATCTCACTAGCAATCCTGTAGGATAATACTCTTAGGACAGTTATTTTCTTTTCTTTTTCTAGAAGAAAAAAAAGAACTTTTGCCTCTATGTACTTTGTTTATTCTTATTGCAGTTTGCTAGACAACAATGAGTTTCTTGTTGGTTTCTCTCCCGAAATCAATGAACTGAAGATGCTTTCTGAATGTCAAGTGGATGAAAACCATCTAACTAATGCTGCTAAAATGCCAGTTTGTGCAGAAAAATCCAACACATGGTATGTTAATAATCTGGATTTATATTTATATGTGATTTCATGTACTAACATTTGAGCATTTTGTAGTCTATGTTGTGCCTATTTTATGCTAGTATAGGTTAATCTTTCTGATTTCTTTTTTCTATTTTTATATTTTTCTCATTTTTGAAGGCATATTGGTCAAAGAAAAGGTTCTCGGGGCCTACTAGAAAACAATATACAATATCGTCGTTCTCACGAAGACCCTCGTAATCGTGAGGCTAATTCCCCTCTTACGAGCCCTTCTCCTGCTGCTTCCCCATCACCACAAGTTCAGAATTCAATTCCTCCTAAGGAAAATGCTTTTCATTCTCCTCCTTCTCTGTCTACACCAGGCTTTGAACCACTATCTAAAAGCACCTCCTCAAGAAATCATCGAGTCCCTATTTTTGTTGGAGTTATTGGTGCTGTATTACTTCTTATTACTTGCATTGGAATATATCTTTGGAAAACCGACAAGGTTGCTAATGTCAGACCTTGGGCCACGGGACTAAGTGGACAGCTTCAGAAGGCCTTTGTGACTGGTAAATCCAACATTTTATTTCCCGTATTTGGAAGAGCATATAAATAGCTTACGAAAATAGTTTATGATTTCTTGTAACTCTTTTTTTGCTTATTTTAATTAGCTTCTTAGTATAACTTTTGAACTTATTATAATCAAATTTATAACATAGACATTCATGTAAAACAGTAAAAGGATTTTCTTAATAAGCAGCCGTTAATTTACATTTGCATACTGGGCGATTTAGATTCTCTCTTGTTCTTGAATGATAAAATGTAAGGGGAAAACACAACTTTATCGTGCAAGGACTTGCATTGTTCATTACAAGGTCTAGTAGTTATCTTAAAAAATTTATGTCTGTTTTTCTAGACCATGACTTTTTATCAAGATACTAGATATAAATCCCATACTCCATACTGACTCAGATTCCTGAAACATGACAAACAATAGGAATTTATTTAACTTGTTTTCATTGGGTCCTTTGGTCATCCAATTGGTGGCTTTGAATGACTGCATTCCCATGTCTTTATGCTATGTTTCTAATGTTCATATATATGTTTTATGTACATGCATGACAGAGTTTTACATTTTCAGGTGTGCCAAAGCTAAAGAAATCAGACCTTGACGCAGCATGTGAAGATTTTAGTAATGTAATTGGCACTTCACCCATTGGTGCACTGTACAAAGGAACTTTGTCTAGTGGTGTGGAAATAGCTGTAGCTTCTATTCCGAAGACATCATCTAAGAATTGGTCGAAGACTTTAGAAGCCCAATTTAGAAAGAAGGTATCAATTATCATAACAAGCAAGACAAACAAAAATAACTGTAGATTTGCAATTTAATCGCTTTAATTATAGCTAACTTTTTAACCATGATGGTTTCAGGTAGATACATTGTCGAAAGTGAACCACAAGAATTTTATCAATCTTATTGGATATTGTGAAGAAGAGGAGCCTTTCACCAGAATGTTAGTTTTTGAATATGCCCCAAATGGAACACTATTTGAGCATTTACACAGTGAGTACCTATCACCAATTAGGATTTGAATTTCGTTTCCACGTGAAATTGCCATAACCTATCTCTTTAGGAAACAAGAATTCTATTTTTGAAGGATTTGAGTTTTTTGGCCTGTCTAAAAGGGTTGATGGATAAGTTATGAAAATAACTTATGACCCTCATAAGCTATTTTTAACTTATTTTAAGAAATTTCTTGATATAACTTATTAAAATAAGCTGTACTTAGTTTAACCTACCAAATAGATTTTATGATTAAATGTATGACATAAGTCATCATTTTAAAAGAGCTTATTGAATAAGTGGTTAACTAAGCATTTATCCAAATGCACCTTTTATTAGGTTGGGAAATGGCTGATGTATTTGATCTTCTTGTGAATTTCAGTAAAAGAAGCTGAGCACTTGGATTGGGGAACAAGACTTAGAGTTGCAATGGGTATGGCTTATTGCCTGCAACATATGCACCAGTTGGACCCTCCTAGTGTCCTTATCAAGCTGAATTCATCAACTGTTTACCTGACTGATGACTATGCTGCCAAAATCTCAGATTTGAGTTTCCCTACTGAAATAACTTCTTCAGCTGAGACTAAAACTGGTGACAGAAAACACATTAACACACCAATAGCAAGTCCAGAAAGTAATGTGTATAGCTTTGGTGTTTTATTATTTGAAATGATTACTGGTCGTCTCCCTTATACAGTGGAAGAAGGAGATTCACGTGAAAACTGGGCATCACACTATTTGCAAGGAGACCAACCCATCAAAGAAATCGTGGATCCAATTCTAGCATCTTACCAAGAAGATCAACTTGAACAACTTGTTGCACTGATTAAATCTTGTGTTCAACCTGATCCAGAGCAGAGGCCAAAAATGAAAGATGTCAGTGAGAGGTTGAGAGAGATAACAAAAATAACAGCTGAATCTGCATTTCCAAAACTTTCTCCACTTTGGTGGGCAGAGCTTGAGATTTCTTCAGCAGAAGCACGCTGAAATCAGTGAAGCAGATTGTAATTAGTTTAAAGTCTGAGAGCTTTTAAGCATTGTGATCCTTTTTTCTTAGGTGAAGGCACAAAAAAGTTCTCATCTCCTGTATCTATTATAGGACATGATGGCAAATGACATGTGGGAGACCAAAAAGCGTGGTGAAGTGCTTTTTCGTGCCTCGTTTGTTTGTAGCTTATGGAATTGCACCTAGATAATAGCTTTTGTATATCAGTTAATTTCAAGTCAGAATCAATGTATGTGGTGAATCAAGAGAGTATGCTATTCGCCTATTCCAACTCTTCTTTCAACGGACCATAATTTTTGCCGACCAAACTAATAGTTTAACAACCATACTCTTCCTCACGTTCATTGATCAAAACTATTAACTATTAACAAGGGTGTCATCCAACTCTCACGTTCATTTAACTTGAGGTTGACATTCACAAGAGAAAAAAAAAATTATTAAAAAACTAAGCCTAACTCATTCTTAAAAGTTTGCTCATAAGAAGAGAGTTGTTCAACTTTTATAAGGAATACTGTGGCTCTATTTTTTTAACATACTTCTTTAATATGTAGAATTGGATATTTTGTACATTAAGTTTGCATAAATAAACATTTGTGGGTAGCTAGCATTCAAATTGCATAGATTCTAATACCACGTTACAAAATTAAATTTAACTCACTCTTAAAAATTAGCTTATTGAAAGAAGGTTGTCTAACCCTTATAAAAAATAGTCTGACTCTGTTCCTAACTTATACATATAAAACAACTAAAATTTACAGCACAGCAGGTTGTTTGAGATGTTATAAACTTTCTATATTTGAGACATTCATAGGAATATAAATTGCTTTGACACGGTAGTACTTAAAATATCTTTTTTACAATATGTTTTCCTAAGAAATTTTTTATGTATAAATAATTTGGAAACATATTTATTGTGACAGGTGGCCTTCACGTAGATACATGAAGAATGCAATTTATTGGTGCTTGGCAAAGCATGGTGGAGAGCACGTTGAACTACATCATCATTTATCAACAAGCTATATAGATATATCAAATGCTCTTCAATTGGTATAACTAAGCTTTTGTATTTGAAAATCTTTCTAGTTCCGTTCCACCTCTTGGAAATGGGTGGCAATACCTTCATTCTCTGTGTCTTGCTTCTTGTGGTTGGTGTTCCTTACATAGAAGCTGGTGAAGTTACTTCAAAAGCAACAGAGAAGAAAATAGAAGTGGTGGTGGAAGCCATGTTGTACTGCCAGAGATGTGACAACTTTGGAACATGGTCTTTGAGTGGAGCCAAGCCTATTCCTTCAGCAAAAGTAAGTGTTACATGCAAAAACCATAAAGGTCAAGTGAGCTACTATAAGGTCTTTGAGACAGACCAAAACGGTTACCTATATGCTCAACTTGAAGGGTTCAAGATGCAGCATTATATATTGGATCATCCACTCCACTCTTGCTATGTAAAGCCAGTGTGGTCTCCTCTTGAAAGTTGTAACCTTTTGTCGAATGTCAACTATGCTCTCAATGGGGCTCCACTTCGTTATGAAAACAAGAGATTGCATGCAAGCAATTACGAGGCTGTTATCTACGCTGCGGGACCCTTGGCTTTCCGTCCTTCTGATTGCTCGCAAACTACTATTCATTAGTGTGCCACATCTATCCTTAATCAAGCTTTGAGATGCATCTAATCATTATTTTTTGTGCCTTAAATTTGTGTTGATGATTTTGTATTCAGTATGAAATCGTTTCTTTTTAGCTTTTTTTCCTCAATAAACTAAAATTGCTATAATCCCCCCCCCCCCCCCCCCGGTATTAAAAAATAAAATTGCTATGTTACTGCATTTTTTCTTTTTTGTTTTCTTTTTTAATATTTGGTAAGAACATATGTTTGTACAAGTCAAAGAAGATGTTAAAACAACAACCTTTATATTTTATACATACTTTCTCTTAATGTATATTTATCCCTGCTTTCTTGTTTATTTCTATTTTTATAACATTTTTATTGATTATTATTATTTCTATTACTTTGTTCTATCCGCATTTGTTTTTGAGTATCACATGCAAAAACAGACAAAGGTCAAGAAGAAGCCCATGAATTGTTTATCAGGCCATGGTTTCTTGATAGTGTGAGCCCAGTAAAGGTAGGACCAGTACATCCCTTGATGGTGTCAGACGCAGAGCCCAAAGTCCACAGTTGACCAAGAAAACAATTCCCGCACCCAAACATAAGAATTTTACAAATTAAAAAATTACAAACTGTTTTTAAAATGTTAGTTTAAACTAAAGCCGAATACATATTAAAGACAAAAAAAAAAAAAATTTATATGAAATTATTTTTTTGTCTAAATAAAAATTATAATGGTTCATAAAAAAAAAAAAAAGAAGATGAAGAAAAATGAAAAGAAAAAGAAAAGATTACCAACTACAATATACCTGCACTGCATCGCCGTCTCTCACAAAGCGTGTCTGAACTGAACCATTTTTACTCCCACACTCAATCTCTCTCTCTTATCGCAAGAAACACAACACAAAAACTCCCTCTGATAAATGGCTAACACGGAAGATCCCAACCCTAACAATGCCACTCAACGCTCCATAAACACCAATGGCGATGCGGAACTCGACGACGAAGATGACGATGACATCGACGACGACGACGAAGAAGAAGACAACGACGACGTCGTTCGGGAATCGAATCGTCGAATTCCCCAATCTGCAGAGTCCAAGTGGCGGGAACAGCGTTTCAAGGTGGAAACCCTGTCCCGGCGGTTGTCGTCGGAGTTGGTTCCTATCCGAGTCCACGACGTGTTTATTAACGGCAACACGAAGACGAAGGATTGGGTGATTGAGGCGGAACTCAAGGGCATCGAAAACGCCACTAGCATGCAGGAGCTTATGCAAGCTTCGCAAATCGCCATTGCGAGGCTTCAGGGGCTCGAAATCTTCGATTCCTGCAAGGTTAGGCTTGAGTCTGGTCCCCGAGAGCTCCCTAACACTGCCAATGTCATCGTCGACGTTGTAGAGACCGATAGCAAAGTTTCCGGCGAATGCGGCGTTTATACCAAACCCTCCGTGAGTGCACATATTTGCTCTCTTTTTTTCATTTTTCCTAATACGATGAGTCAAAGTGAGACTTGTTACTATGATTTTAGGCGTTGCATTATGTAGAATTGCAAATAGATGAGCCTATAAGAGTGAGAAATGAGATAACTCATCTTGATTATTCAATCTTACATAGATAGTCAGGCTAAGATTTAAGGGAAATGTATTTTTGAATCACCAAATGGGACACCTAAAGGTGTCTCCATTGTAAGTGGGATGTATTTTTGAAATGCATGTATATAGAAAAGATAAAAAATTATAATTATCAATCTCGAATACCAACAGCCAAAAATGCTATAGAAGGATATAGCGTACAGTGGAATGACTACTATTTAAAAAATTTATATACAAATTAAATAATTTATACTATATTATAAGTGCTCAAAAATAAATTTATAAATCCATAACATATTCATAATTAAAAATAAAAAAGTCACAGCTCTTAAGCAAAACATGCAAGTTCAAATTTTGTCATGGCTTATGGCTGCTCCACTCCACTCCACTATTCTGCTATAGCGATGCTCCGCCACTGATAACTACTTAAAAATACGTGAAAGATATAAACAATAACGGTTTCTCTAATGTTTGTTTAAGAGCATATGTTCAAAAATCAATAAATAGTAAGTTTTAATTGAAAATTGTAGTATTTAATGTAATCAATACATTGTATCTTGTAGTATCTTGTGATTTCAAATAAAAACTTATTATATGTACATTAAGTGTGTTGTTAGAAACATGTTAGAAAAACCAAAACAATAATATACATTGTTACATAGTATATCAATTTTTACTGGTACAAATAACGAAACTCTCATATATACTTTTTCTCTTAGGTCTGGGGTGTGAATGCAGGATATGGGAATCTAATTTTTTTTTTTCTGTGGAAATTATGTGATTCTTGTAGACTAGTTCTTGGACTACTGAAGGTACTCTTAAGTATAAAAATTTGTTGGGTTATGGTGATCTCTGGGATGCTTCCTTGGCTTATGGTGCCAACCAAGCAACAGAGGTGAGTGTAGGGGTGTATGCTCCGCGACTTAAAGGGTTATTAACTCCTATTGTGGCACGAATGTCCATGCTTTCCCAAGATTGGCAAGATTCTTCCTCATACAAAGAGCGGTTGCTGGGTGTGTCTCTTGGCTTAGTCTCTACAAAGCACCATGACTTAGCATACACTCTTGGATGGCGTACCTTAACAGATCCATCCCGAATGTCATCCAGGTCTATAAGAAGGCAGCTTGGGCACAGTTTAGTGTCATCTCTGAAGTATACATTTAAAATTGACAGGAGAAATTCACCTATTAGACCAACAAAAGGATATGCTTTTCTCTCCACCACTCACTTTGGTGGCCTTACACCAGATCACCGGAGCTCGCGGTTTCTGCGTCAGGTGTGATTAAATCCTTTTATTGCCCTTCTATTAATCTGTTACTCTGCAATTTTATGTGTAAAGCATAAAACATAATTGCCTTTCTATTGAATGATATTGATGTAAGAATTATTGAATTAATTTTGAAAGTAGCTAGAATTTCCAAATTGGTGCAGATGAGAAATTTTAAAATGATTTGGTGGAATTAATAAGCAAAACATTATATAACTTTAGATCTTTTGCATTAATGCGTCATTTCCTTTGTCTGAGATGACCTGTTTCATTAGAAGAGAAGCTGTGCATTTGGGTGAGCTTAAAAAAAAAAAGCAGTAGTTTTATGATATAGCTTTCTTTTAGAAGCTATTTTTTCGATTATAGGAAAAGAACTAAAATTACTTCTTCTTTTTTTGTAGTTTTTGTATTTTTTATATCTAAAATTATAAAAAGAAATATTTTATTAAAAATTACTTTTTATTTAAAAAAGGCATAAATAAATGACCTCGTATTTGTCATTTGTTATCATGTTGACATCATGCAGTTTATATTTTTGTTGGTTGTAAAGATTGAGTGGCTACTTGTTACTTTTCCTTGGATCAATGCTCATATGAATGATCTATTTAGTTATTTTTCATTTTCATAAAATTCTTGGTACTAGAACTTGATTAGTTGCTTATTAGTGAGTGTGAGATTTTGGGACAATTTTCCATGGAAGGCTTTCAGTCTTTCACAAGCATGAGGTTTGAGGAACAATTTACCATTCGCAGCCCATTCTGCATGATTTGGATGCAAATTGCTATTTAATAATTTAAGGTTTGGCAAATCAGTTCTACGTGATTTTTGTTTCCTGATTTAAAACATTGCCATATATGTGCATGATCATGGAGGTGCATGTGAGATTAGGCTATAATTGAAGACACTCAGCCAAGACAAACCTTGATGACTGAAAGAAGTATTACCTTTTCAACATTAACTTGGAACAGCCAAACAATTTTTTCATCAGGTTGACTCTTTCTAGAAGGTAGTAGGTTCCATGTGGGGAAGTATGATATCTGTTATGGTAATGAAGCCATACCATGAATGTGTTTTAGTTAAAAAATAGTTCCCTCGTTCCATTTCCAGTGTTCCTTGGATAATGCTAGCAAATTCAATTTTTGTCAGGCAGATTTGTCTTTTCTGTAAAGGTAAATCCTATTGATTGAATTTTGCTGCTATTATAATTAATTGAGACCGTGGGTAAAATAATGAAGAATAGAAACAGGAAATATGGAAAGAAATAATCAAACCACCTCAAAATAGATTATTTTATGTCATGTGTTACTGGCCATCAGTATAACTAGCATTTGGTAACTGTTTCTTCTCTTCTTCCACTTGTTTTTTTTAGTGGTTTCACAATATATTGAGTTTTTACCTTTATTTAGTTTTTCTTCCTTATGCTCTGCCTTTTTCTAATAGCTGTAACCTATGGTTTTAGCAAAAGCACAAGAGGAAAAAAATCATTTGGTGTAGGTTTTTTTTTTTGCATAATAGGCAACCTTGCTATTCTCTGAAGCAGGAAGTTAAGTCTGAGGAAACTCATTATAAATAGTTAGAAAGGAAGATAACTTCAATAACTCTATGTTTGCTGTTGTATCTGGCAATAGAATCAGAGTCACTAGATGCATGGCCTACTCTCTCTCTTTTCCCCTTGTTCTCTCTGTTCAGTATGGGAACCATAGTCACAGTAACACACTAACACATACATGTAACAATTGCTGTAAAAGTTCCTTTTGCATCTTATTTGAAATTTTTTTTTTTTACTTTGTTAACTCTTCCAAGTTTTAATGCAGGAGTTTGATGTACGCCTTGCTGTCCCTTTTGGGTTTTATAATACAGCAGTAAACCTTGGCATATCTGCTGGTGTTGTTTTTCCATGGGGGCATGGTTTCAAAACCAAGCCATCTCCCCTTCCAGAAAGGTTTTATTTGGGTGGTGATTTTTCTCCAGTTTGCACCCTAGGAGGACCAACAACATTATGGGGATTTAAAACTAGAGGATTAGGTCCTACTGAACCACGGAGGCAAGATAGAGAAGGATCTAATGATGACAATGGTGATTCCTCTGGATGGGACTTCATTGGAGGAGATCTCGCTGTTACTGCTTTTGCAGACCTCTCTTTCGATCTTCCAATTAGGTGGTTGAGGGAACATGGAATCCATGGGCATGTTTTTGCTGGTTCTGGGAATACTGCTAAATTAACACAGAATGAATATAAGCACTTCTCTCCTCAAAAGTTCGTAGAATCTTTTCGAACATCAGTGGGATGTGGAATTGTTATTCCTACTAGACTCTTCCGGCTAGAGGTCAGTTTCTGTTTTAATTTCTTTTTATTTTATTAAGAAACACGCCAAAGTAACCAAAAGTTGGGGGATGCGGGGTGTTTGGAGTGAAATGTCAATGATTGGCAAGATATCGAGGACTTTGGGTAACCTTGTGATATTTGGGCATTAAAAAATACGAAGGAATTAAAAGAAAATTACAGAACCTTTTAAGCTTGAAACCTTGTTTCTTGTATCGTTTTCCTCTTTTATTTTCTCTCGCTTATTTAGTTCTGAATTGGGAACTTAATCCTTGCTTTTGATATGGCTGCACGTATATCTGACCCAAGGTATGTATTTGTCTACACGGATATGTCTGCACTTAATTTAGGTGAACGGCCTGTTGAATTGATCCATTAGCATTGTTATTAGAAATAGTAAATCTCTTTTTAGCTGTGCCCCAGCCCTCGCTATTAGTTTGCTATTTATGTGTTTTGTATCAAATCCTTCTATGATTACTTCATCAACATAGTTCTTGTTTCAGGGTAATTACTTCTACGTACTCAGGAAGGATGAGCATGATCGTGGGAAGACTGGATTTAGGTTTAGCTTCTCAGCTCCTTCGTAGCAGCTGGGTTCTCAGCTGGATATTCTTTTCCTTTCTATGTAGTTCTTCAAGCATTAAACATTTTTGCTGTCTATCTCAGCATTGCATTTTCATTTTCTTCTTCCCTTAATTGCAGACAAAATAAGAGAGGGCATTGTTTTATTATATTCACAGCGATCTGGTTTTGGAGTGATATTATCCATTTGGGAATCAAATTCATAACATATCAGCCGATGCTCATTGCACTGCAAATGTGCATGAAATTCGAAAATCATGCACTACGTAAGGCATTACCCGTGAGAGTTCATTGCTTTTTTTTTTTTAGCCCGCTTGTATTTTGAACTATATACACAGCTCACTCTCTTTTTCTTGGGTCAACCACAGCTTCCTCTTGTATTGGTTGATAGTGATGGATCATCCACGTGGGGATTGCTGCGTATTGTGTGTGTATAATGTTTTATTTCTTTTGAAAGAGCATCAATCAGGCCCACAATATGCAGAAATTAGGGGACTAATGTGTCAAAATAAGGAAGCTGGTTTCGTGGTTGTTTGTTTAATCTTTAGAATTAATTTCTTACAATATGGCATACGTTTTATTATACAACTTGTAATTAAGATTTACTTCTAAAAATATTTCAATTAGATTTAGTAGTTCAAATTTAATTTTGTTTAGATTATTTTTTTATATAACTAAATAACTAAAAAAATATGTTTATAATGATAAGTGCAACCTCTTGCAATTCACAAGCATTTATTGAAATTTGAAAGCTATGTGAGGCCTAAACCAACGGTGGTTTGTTAAGGCGTCACATAATTTTATATCGAGGGGAAAGCATCTGGTGACCAAAACGGAAAAGTGAAAGCATCTATAAGTGCCAATAACTCCGAAACAACCTGAGATTGTGACTGATTTTAAACGACTTTGTTAAATTTAGCTGTTGAAAGATGAAAATAAATAGTTAGTAATAGTAAAAAAATATTTATTATATTTTTATAATTTTAATATAATAATTATATATTTTTTTAATAATTTTTTTATTTATAAATATTTAAACTTTACTTTAAGAATTGAGGTTAACAATTTTTTTTTTAAAAGTATAAACGTGAAAAAATAATATCATTTAGAAGTATATTTAACACTCAATTCGGCAGCTCTAAAGTTTTTTTTCCAAATTAAAGGAGAAACATTTGGACTGAGTTATTTATAATTCGAAAGAACAATTTAATCAAATGCTAATCAAACAATAACTCCTAAAACATTAATTTATTAAACTGAAACAATCTTTAAATTTTAAATAACATAATCTCAAGATAAAACGTAACTCCTAAATTATGTTGAATAAAAATTATAATTATCCTAAATGGATATGTAGATCCATTTTATAGAATAATTATCTAGCCTAAGGGAAAAAAATGCATGGGTAAAATATAAAATCATAATAGCCTAATTAGTAAGGTATGGAAGCAGATTATGTCGACCACTCTCGACAAGAATGTGGTATCCTGCTTGTGTAAGGTGCACAGCATCCCAAAAGAGGAACTTTGACGAATCGGGGCAAGTTAGGTCAAGTGCATTGCACACTGGACCCATCTCCATAAGCCCTGTCCCACAGCATCCTTGAAGTGTTTGCACAAAACCTTCACAAATTTATGAGCAAAATTAAAACGGGCAAACACATAACAGAAACCCAATGTATATATATATATATATATAAACATACAATCTAAAAGTTACTAAATTCAATATATTAATAACATTAAACGTTAGGATCTTCAATAAAAAATTACTATTTACTAATTTCTAATTAAAACTTGATAAAAAAAAAAAAGGAGAGTTTTTACCATATTTGCCTGGGTTATTGACCATACCCAGAATGGGCTTGTATATATCGAAATAAGCAACCTTAGCACCATGGAGTCTGGCTTGGAGTGAATGGATATGGGTTTGAAGCTTGTTATTGTAGGCTTCAGAATCTGTGTTTTGTTCGTCGTTACACACACGCTGGAGCCAGTGTTGGCTAGGTAAGATACTGCTTACTGTCACTTGCAGTGGCAAACAACCAACTGGGGGAAGACCCGCCACCAAAATCCGCCGAGCTCCTGCTCCGTACAGCCTCTGCATTACCCAACATTAATCAAATCCATGCATTATTTATTTTTTATTTGCTATCAAAATAATAATTTGAATTTACGTGACCAAGTGCATGTTTTCATTTTTGTGAAGCTTTGTATATTAATTTTCCTATATTTTTAGTAAACAGTTCATTCTATAGGATAATATTAAATAATAAGAATATTAATTGTTGTTGGTCAACGTCTTCGTTATGATTATATTATTTCAAAAGACGTGAACTGAAATGCCTTTAAATTGAAAAAAAAATTATTCGATAAATCTCATCTGCAGTTAATTGATGGCAATATATCATATCGAATATGGATCCTTAACCCTTACAATTAGCTCTTCACGATAAATGATTTTTTTTAAGAAAAAGAGAGGAAAATCCAAATCTAACACGTATAAAAAATTAGAAATAGAAACCATAACAAATAAAATTAATCCATGCACTTCAGGCTTATTTAAGCATGACTCAAATGTGAAAACACAAAAAACTATAAACATTACACAAACCTGAATAAAATCATGAAGATTATGGAGCAGAAAATCTTGGTAAGCCGAAATAGAGCCATAGTGAATCATCCTTCCTGGGAACAAATATGCATTGTACAACACATCATTAGTCCCAATACTGATCACAAACAAAGCATTGTGGACGATATTCTTAGCCCTTTCATCTCCAGCAACGTCTCTTATCCTCTGCAAAGCCTCTTCAAACAAGTCAAACTGTGAGGACATGTTCATAACCTTAGCCAGGTTCACGGTTTCGCTATCCAAGCCAGAACCACCAGAACCAAAACTAACCCCAGTGAGTAAATCACTATCACTGACAAGTGGGTCAAGATATGCGGGTAAAACATCCTTAATACCCAGCATGTGGGTAAGATAATCGGTTGCTATTTTTCCATTTGAGAATCTCCCCGTTGGCACGTGATTAGGAAAGTCACGACCATAGGGTAAGTGGTCACCACGAAAAACAGTGTTGAAGTGGTTGTTGTTGCCAGAATCAACGGTGGAATCACCAAAGGCAAAGACTGCGGTCACATTGCCAGAGGCAGTGACTGAGTTTTGTATGCAAAGGAAGAAGAAAAGAGAGAAGACAAGGAAGTTCGAGGATGCTATTTTGGTCATGGAGGCCATGGCCGTGTGATGTAGGTAAGTTTTCGCTTCAGAGAAAAATGTAGTATGCTATTTGACGAGTGTTATGAGATATATATATATATATATAGCTTGGGTGGTTTGAGAAGAGAGAAATCAACATAAACTACTGAGTTTCTTGAATTTAAATTTTAAATTTCTGTTCATGAAGATTTTGTTCAGGTTCTATCTATGTTGAAAAGTTATTTGTTTCTGTTATCAGTTTATTTTAAATTGCATAAATATCTTTTCTAATATATTTATCTTTAACCCTAATTAGCTTGATCTTTCTTATGTATTAACTTAATTTTGTTAGCTTTTAAATCTATAATTGAACCGGTTATTTTGAAAAAAAAAATATGTTTAAGGCTTGAACAAGATTTTTTTTTCGTTAGTTTAAATTTAATTTATCTTAAGAACTTTAATTTTATAAATGTAACGATATTTAAGTTTTAAATATTTAAATTAAAATAAACTAAATATTTAATATAAGAAAAGCACGCAGTATAACAAAATAAGAAAACTTTCTAAAAGTATTGATTTTAGAACAAAGATTTAGGATTAAAATGTATAACCAATTTGTATAATTTACAACATATAGTCTGTCTGAATCATAACAGAGTAACTAATATATTTTCTCAGCCTTTTTTAATAGTTTTTTTAATTACAAAAATATGATTTTATTTTTTGCAAAAAATACATAGATGAGAAAATTTGTAAAATTGTGCTTTAGAATATTTTATTATTATTTTAAAAATTACTTTTCTTTTGATTTTTTAAAATTTTTTAATATTTTTAATAATTTATTATTGACTATTTTTGACACTTCATAATTTTTTTTATTCTTTTATCTCTGAATCTGTATCTATACAATGACAACTTTTAAATCTCATTTTTAATATTTTTTTAAAAAAATACTATACTTTTTATAAATTAATTCAAAAATCATATATAAACAATAATCATATTTTCTCCCTTTTTATCTTTATTTTTCCAATGAAAATAAAGAAAAAAACATTGTTGAAACGTACTAATTATAATTTAAAGAAATTTTTTCTGCAAATTAAATTTGCAGAAAATTCAAAATTAAATTTGTTTAAATATACGGATTAAGTTATTTCATACATATATCCTAATTGAGTTTTTTTACTTCAAAATTTTGTTGATGAAATTCCTTCGAAGTTTTATCAGTGATGACTATAATTCTAATATGGTTTTGTTATCAGTTTATTTTAAATTATATAAATATTTTTTTAATATGTTTATCTTCGGTCCTTATCTTAGTTATTTGTTTTAATTAGATCCGACGGAGACGTATATCAACACTTACCGTGGTTTTGTGACGTATTAACGTTTTCTGTTTGCTTTTAAATTTATAACTGAACCAATTATTAAAAAAATAATATAAAATAATACACCACTTTAACGATTGAAGGCTTCAACAAGATTTTTTTTTTCGCCATCCATGTACACCATTAATTAACTGATTAAGACTATAATAATTTAAAATTTTAATTTATCTAAAAAATATATCTTCAATTTGATAAATATAACAGTATTTAAAATTTGAACTAAAACTAAAATAAATAAATGAAATTAAAAAATAAAATAAATATTTAATAGAAGAAAAGACTAATAATATAACCAAATGAGAAAGACTTCTAAACATATTTTTTTTAAAAATAAAGATTCAAATTTAAAATTTATAACAAATTTGTAAAAGTTACAAAATATAGTTTATGTTTAAAGATGAATAGTAGAAGATAACTAAGTGATAAAGATAGTAATTTAAATTATTTTTGACGCTATGTGATAAAATTATTAATTTAAAATTATTATAATTTTATTAATTTTTTATTATTTTGATTTATATTATTTATAGTTACAAAGTTAAAATAATTTTTAAATAAAATTTATTAGTTAAAATAATTTTATTTTTTAATTATTAAATTGAATATATATTTATTTTAAAGTAAAATATCTACACAAACTATCAACTAGTAATTATTAAGTTAACATTATTTTTCTCTTATTCTAATGTACAATTTAATTAAAGTTAATTTTTAAATTATAATTTTTACTCACGTTAAAATTAAATAATAAAATAATAATTTATCATGTTAAATAACATTATTTTATGTATTAAAGTAAAATTTTTTTATCACTTTCGAAAAATTACTTTCTTCCTCATTCTGTAACTCTATTTCCACCAAGAATCAACCATCTATTTTCCGTAATATTTTATAATATGTGTAATATTTTTATAATTTAAACATATGTGACGCTTAAAATTGACTTAAAATATATTTTCATCTTTGTAGATTAACTAATTTTAATTTTGACCCTTATAGTATTTCTTTTAATCTAATCTTCGATTTTATAAAGATACATGTTTTTAATTTTTAATATTAAATTAGTGTTGTTAAACAATGAAACACTTTTACACTGTGAATATAATATATTATAATTAAATTAAAAAGTTAAAAACATATATTTCATACAAGCAAAATTTGGTACTCCATCTCACCGGCCTGACCATTTCTTTTTGTCCTTTCATCGCTTTATTAATTTAAGAAAGTTCATCCCAAAATGACAATTCATCGTACCACTCGAATCATGGTTTTTGATTCGCAAACTACACTGGCTACTGCTACTTGGTTGAATACCTTTATCAAATCATTAACTGCACATGAAGCTAAAATTTAAGAGTTTAAAAGTTAGACATTGGTGCTAACTGATCCACATTCTTAAAAGTTCTAGTAGTATGCATGCATGTAAACAAGTGATAATCGACTCATCCAAGGATTATTTCCTAAGCATCAGCAATCATTGGACAAAGCTCCAAGCTTTTCACATAAAAAAATTGCAAACAACAAATGAACACCAATTTGCATGTATAGCATTCACAAAATATACAACTCTGCATCTGTGAAGTTATCATGTCATTACAAACCATACTTGCTAGTGTCATCAAAGAGAATGATGAGGTTGAGAGCAGCACCTATTGAGCAACCGAAGCAGTGCATCTGCTTTTCTTCTAGCTCTCAAAGAACCATCAGCAGCTAAGCTTTGAAGTGAAGGAATGCTCCTTGGATTTGCCAATAGACGCCTTGCCACCACTTCCCCTTCTTCTTTGCACAATCCTAGTAAAAGGGTTATTGAATTTTCCTTTCCTTTCACTGATCCAAATCTCAAAAGATCAATGAGAAGTGGCACCAATCCTCTACTGTTCCTTATCTCTTCTAGCCCTTGAGAGCAACCAAGGAGCAAAGCAAGCACGGCTAAGGCATCATCTGTTATGCTAGCCTTATCATCCATCAACAACTCAACCAACACAGGAACTACACCAGCTTTAACAACACTTGCCTTGTTAGGATTGTAAACTGCAAGATTGAATAGTGCAGTTGCAGCATCTCTTTTCCCAATTGGAGTACCTTCTTTCAAAAGTCCAACTAAGGCAGGTATTGCCCTTGGTCTTGCTCCAATTTGTACCTTGCATTCATCTACCATAGACAAGCTAAATATTGATGCTGCAGCATTTTCTCTTGCCTCCATGGTCTTCCCGGATTCGAGTACTTCTACTATGTTGTCAACCGCTCCAGCTGCCATGATCAAAATCTTGTTGTTGTCAAAGATGGAGAGGTTGAACAGGGCTGTCACTGCATGTTCTTGGATTCTTGAATCATGAGATCCTAGAAGTGTTACAAGGAAGGGAATGGCCCCTACCTCGGCTATGATTCTTCGGTTATCCATGCCTGTTTTTGCTAGTAACCGTAGTTCATATGCTGCTTGTCTTTGTATATCAGCGGAACCAGTTGCCAATTTTCCAACCAGAAATTCTGCGGTCATTTTGACAGCATCTGCAGCTGCTTTGTTTGCAGAAATATGGTCAATGGCATCCTCATTCGACTTCTTGTTATTGTTGTTTCCCTCGCTCGTGGGATCATTCACTGGGACATTGTTGTCATAGCACCATTGCTGTACAAGGCTTTTCAATGCATAGTTGGGTATTAGTGCAGTGTGAATGAGCCTTTGCCCACTTTTGGGGCAAGTGTGGTGTCCAGAGTTTATCCATTGAGCAATTGAATTTCTATCATAAGTGTGCCCTGATGATACAATCACAGGGTCCCTCATTAAGTCAAGTGAAATTGGGCAACGAAATTCATCAGGAATATTAGGTGTCATGGACATGGAGTGAGAGGATGAAGAACTATCATGGACTTTGTTATATAAAAATGCAGATAGTGGCTTACACTCTTCTTCATTTCTATCATTCTCTGATCCATCTCTGAATATCATGGATTTGGAATAAGAAACAAGGGATATGAGATTGTTTATATTGGACACAACAATTAGTCCTCCTGTGCCTGCTTGATTCTGAGCTTCGGCTTCTAATTTTGATATTTCTCCATCATAATCTGATGGAGTTCTTAAACCAATGCTACTTAATATCTCTTCCACTTTTCCAAAATCAATAAACCCTTTGTTCTGCTTATTTTGTAAACTGTTGTTGGCCATTACTTGTAGAAGCTGTTCTCTTCGTTGAAGCTCTCGAGGATCAATTAGTAACTCAGTCCTCTTTGCTTGTTTGTGAAGAAGCTCCACTTGTTCCCTTATATCTGTTGTTATGTTGAGCAATTTTAGAGGCAAGATATCAAGGGCCCTTCCCATCTCCTTCACAAGCACATAAAATTGGTTGGAAATGAACTCTAACTGGATGAGACCCCAAAGAGAGCTTCTATCCTTGCTCTCTTGGATCAAAACCTTCACTCTACTAATCACAGAGAAGAGTTCTGTGAGACACAGGATTGAAGGAGGAGGAAGTGGGGTATCTGTTACTTGAATCTCTTCAAACAATGAAGAAAGAAGCTTGATCCTCCTTATCATGGATGAAATGTTCCTTATGTTAATGAAGGGAAACTTCTCCATTGACCCAACTTCATTTGACACATGAATCAAAGAATCTAGCAAAGATCCAGTTGGTAACAAGCCTGGGGAGATCATCATTGTAGATAGAACATCATCATTCATTGTGGTCCTTAATTAAGAGTGTTTCTGTTCATTTTTATGGTGGACAAGATTTGCTCTCAGCAAGGATTTGGATTATTCTGAGAGTTCTATGGCATTTTCTTTTTAACTTAAAATAACATTAAATAATTGTCAAAGAGGCAAGCTGTTTAATTAAATGCATGGTTCTTTGACTCTTTCTATTTGTGCAGTTAGTGCTAAAGACAAGAAGAAAAATACTGAAGGAGAGTTGAGGATTTCTAGTGTGCTGCCATTTGGAGGATTTTCCTGGCTTGCAATATTAGTTGTATTCCTCACCCAGTTTTTTTATTCAAACATGAATATTTTTTGCTAATGGGCTCTGTCAAACATAATTTTCAGCTGCTAAGTATGTCCACATTTGAACATCTTACTTAAAGCTTGGCTATTGAGATTTCCAAATGAATATTTTTTAGTACGACTTGATATTTGATATATATCTACACACACAGATGAGTCCAACACCACCACCAACCAAATGCATAACATTTCATTTTCTTGGTATGTCGCTTCAGGAAAATTGAACATTACTTGAAGATTATGACTCCTGCCAACCTCAACGGCTGATTCTAATTCTAAATCATCGTGCCATTCTGCTATCATTTTGGATATCATATTTGTAATTTGTCGTTTCTGCAGGATTCATTGCAGCCTTATAATATGTGTTCAACTTTCATGCTCCAATTCAACTACTGTCCCTCTTTTTTGCTCATATTAAATGCCAAAAGCCACTAAATGGTGATTAACAATATTGGGTTTGGACATACATGACAATTGGTGATCCATTTTATCAACAATTGGACTTATCAGTGCTAACACTAATAGCGGTAGAATCCCTTATAAAGCTTGAAGCAACCATACGATTCTAAAGTCAGACCAACATAAAGTGGCTCTACAGATTATTATAACGAATTATTGGATTTGAATGATTAAAGGGTCTCCTTAATTGCAGCAAAACTTGTTTGTTTCTGGCCGGTTCCTCTGCTTGGTAGGTCAAACTTTTTGCGCCCGAGGGTTCCTTTGCATACAATTTATTAAAATTAGAATCTGCAATTTTAATATTTTTAGTATTATTTTAAAAGTGAGTTAATACTTTATAGTCACTTTAAAAAGTTTACTATCACTTCTCTTTAATTAATTTTTATTTTAAATACTCTTTCTTTTATTTGTTAATTAAATTAATTATAAAAAATTTAAATAAAAATTAATAACAAATACATGAAAGTAATAATAAATACTCTTACTTTTCAATTAAAATTGATAATCTATGATATCTTTAAATGCCTTTTTCTAAAAGCACCAAAAACATTTAAAGAATAATACTTAAATTTTGTATTTTATAATCATAACTTATCACAAACAAATGTAGCTAATGTGCTCGGGTATAAAATTATGTTTGTGCTGTGACAAAGATAGTTTAACAATGAACTTTATTTTTGGCACCTAAGACCACTTCACTTCACAATTTTTTAAGTATGCTTATCTCCAGGACAGGGAAAAAAATTTCAATTGCCAATGTTAAACTTTTTGTTTTTTTGGTCAACTCCAAGGCTCATCTTAACCCTCTATATTGGAAAATCAATAGAACCTTCCTTGAAATACTATATCTTGTTCCTTGCATTAGTATAACTTCGCCTAATTTTGAGATTTGGGCTAAATTATCCGAATTGCTAACCGCTATGCAATTCTGTCAATGGATAGCAAAGCTGGGTAGGATGAATACAACAAAGCAAGGAATGATGGATACGACGAAAAGGGACTTATTTTACATATATTACCAATTTGAATTATATTATTTACACAACATTTTTGTAACACAATACGAAAATTAATAAATTTAAAATTATACTAATCATCATAAACATAGTAAAATGTTATCGTATACTTAAATATATACAGAATTATTAAATTATAAAATGCATTTAAAATATATACGACAATTATAAAATAATAGCTATGGACAACTATTTCTCTTTTACCTTATCATTATCTAAAAGGAAAAATGAGGTAACCTCTTTCAATTTTTTCGATCCAAATTGGAAGATGTTTTCGCTTTTCGGAATGTCACAGTTGTTAAAATCAAACTCAACTCATTGCATACGTAAGAAATTCACGAGGCAAAAAATATTTATATAAAAAAAAGTATCTATCTTGGCCATTTGGACATATGTATGATGTCTCATCAGAATTTATATAGATTCATCATATTTCAACTCTTAATCATTTTAAAATAACCCTGAAATCTTGCATCGCTATATACTATTATCAAACTTTATTAGGAGGAGAAAGGATGGGTGTGAGTGTGAGATAGATTTTTTTTATTTTATTTTTTTAATGAAGGGAATGATGGCAAAGGGAAGTGGTTAGCAAAGGCTCTGAGCAGAGTTTGACCTTGAGGTCGCCAGAGATTTATGGTTTGACATGGCTGAGAGGACACCATTCATGGCCATGGTTTGTCATTTGTGTGTTTCTCTGTTGGTGAATTGTTGTTGGTTCAGAAGGGGTTTAGGAGGAAGAAATATATCTTTTTTGTGATTTTCTTTTGTTTAGGGAATAACCTGTAAAATTAGTAATAAGAATCTTGTAAAATAAATATTCTTTAAAATTTTGGGTTATAATAAATTTATAATGTTTTTTCTTTCTCTCACATCACTCACTTTTACTCCTTTTTTTTTATCTTTCTATTTCTCTGAGTTGTAGCAAAAAATTGTATAATTTTTTTATACAAATAGCATCTTCTAAAATTTGCAACTAAACACTATGTAAAAGAACAAAGCTTTTGATCTTTTTTATTGATAAAAAAATTAAACAATACTTACAAAATATAAAATGTTAAAATACAAGAGTATTACCATTATAATCAATAGATAGTAAAAAAATTAAGCATGTGTGCTCAACTCTAATTATAAATTAACATTCTTAAAAGTTAAATATAAAATCACGTAGTTTCTTACAATAGAAATTGGAAAGAGTTCCCAAAATATAATAAAGTAGGTTTTCTTTTTCTTCTTTTTTAATTTTTTCTGAATCAGGACATATCCAACAAAATCAAAGCTATAGCAAATATGTTCATTCACAAATCTAATGATGTTGCACTATAACGCTCTGACAATAAGATAGCGACTACAAAAGACTAATTCAATGAATTATAAGAAAGTGATATAATTAAAAAAAATAACGACAAAAAAATTGAAAGAGAGGTGATAATCAAATAAAATAGGAAGAAGAAGAAAAAGACAACTTCTCATGTAAACAGAGTTGAAGCAAACTTTGAAGTGCTCAACCTCGTGGATCTCTCTTTAGGCCACATCCCTTGGATCAAGCCTACTTTTGGAATTTCAATAGCTAATGGCTTACAATTGACTTGGGCTTAAACTTCAAAGCCCTAGCTGCCTCAATCCATAAGCAGCCGAAGTAAAAACGACAAAGTCAATGCCACCCATTTACAAGTATTTGACTTGAGGTCAATTCTCAATGATTTCCCATATCTTCATCTATCTTCTTTGTTTCCCATATTCATTCCTCTCTCGTCAACTTTCATAATTTTTATTATAACAAAAGAGGTATACTATTTCAGTGAAAAAATATTGTTTTAAGAAAAATCTTTAAACATGTCTCAACTAAATTCCTTATATTCATTTAAGAATAGCTAATGTGAGTCAAGTAAAACTACTGTCAACAATAAAACTCTAAATATTTAATACAATCGTATTAAATTAAAGCAATTTTTGACTTAAAATATACTTAAATATAGTGATTATTATTTATTTCAAAATTTAATTAACCAAATATTAAATAACAAACTAAAAGTTGTTTAAACTGAAACAATACCCACACGATCTTTTCAGTACTGTGTGATAGTCACTACTTTGTGCAGGTCATTGATTTGGTAAGTAGTCAAAAATTCATGATCTGTTTTTTTCACCTTTTAGTGGCACTTATGAACCAAGAAGAATCAGCACTAGGTTAATTTGATTGGGAGGAAGAGAGAGAAGAAAAGGGAGAATAGAGTGTGATTAGGGGAAGGGCACAGTAGGGGTTTTCCATAAGTAAACGGTAATTGGTCTGGGTTAGTACCATTCCCCTACCTCTTCTCTGGCTGCTATGTTTTTCCTGCACTGATTGAATACAACAGAAAGATGCTACTTCCCCCAACCAATTAATTTGCTATTTAAAAGAAACAATAAAAAGTAATAATAGAGAGGGAGAGGGAGAGGGAGAGGGAGAGGGAGAGGAGCTTTGGTACGTTACCACTCACAAGGGTATGACCGAGTCAAGCATAGTACAGAGAGAATCAGAAAATCTGAACTCTGAGCTCATCGCTTATTTGATATGTCTCCATATTTGCATTTAAAACACAGAGATTAAAAAAATAAAATAAAGAAAAAGAGATAGGAAAGTGGGACTCATCTTCATCTCCAATCATTCCTGGGCCGGCCCATTTTGCGGAAGCTATTATCCGTAGTTCCGCGATCCACTCGTGCGCGTGAGGATCACCGACCGTCGATCTGAATCCAACGGCTGGCATGGAAGGTTCCTTCCCCCACACTCAATTGTCCATTGTTTGTTTTAAGGGAAAACGACGCGCATTAAACAAGTGGGGTTTTGGGGTCTTGGAAGTTGGAGGGTGGGTGCATTATCATCTTCCATCCCTTTCCGCTCTCTACCACCATGACTTTGAGTTTGAAGTGACATTTATCTTCCCCTTTTTATCATGCCCCACTCCCATACCTAATCAAAAAGTTTCCTTCATTTATCTTTTCTTACCCTTTCTTTCTTCCATCCCCATCTTATCATCCTTCAAGGGTTCTATTTAATTATGTTTTTTATTCTTTTTTTTAATCATTTTTCAGTTTATTCAAGCAAGACATTCTTCCTATTCAGATCATTGCGTCAAGATCAAAATAAATAAATTATAATGTATTTTATATAAAATTTTTAACTTTTTTTCATTGAAAATTAGTAAACTTTTTTTTATTGTTCTTTAATGATTTCAGACAATAATTAAATTAATTTTAAGCTTTGGTATTATTTTCAAATAATATTTACCTCTTTTATAATTTTAATGTTTCATACCTCTTCAATCTTTATCCCCAATCGAATAGTATTACTTGATCAAATATTTGACAACGTTACATAAGAAGATGAAAATAAATAAATAAAAAGACTAAAGTAAAATTCTAAATACAAAGGATGAGTCCCAAAATCGAACCGATTATGATTGATTTGGTTTGAGTTTGATGTGAAACGAACAAATTATTTAAACTAATCTAAGTTGATTTGATTGGTTGATTTTAGACTTTTGAACTCAATTCATCAATTTGATTCAAAAATCCAACATGTCTCTTAAAATAGAAAAAAAAAAAGGTTATTTATTTTATTTTAACTTATATTTATTAAAAAAATATTAATTTTATAACTTTTTATTATTTTTAAATAAGATGATAAAAAAAATTATTTTTTTAACAAAATCTAAACACAAATAAAAAAAATTATCTTTAACGTCATAAATACATGCATATTACATAAAAAATTTGAAATTAATGTAAAAATTTATATAATTTTTTTTATTTTATAATCTTAAACTTTGAAAAGACAAAACTCTTGGCATAGTAACTTTAATTTATGTAAATTACATGTATATTACATATATGTTTTTAATGGATATTTGGACAAATTTTTTTTCAAAATTTTAATATTTTTTCCACTTTTCAAATTTTGTTATGTTTATTACTCTCATTAATTATTTTTTTATAATCAATGTTAGCAAATTTTTATAATTTTCAAAAATATCACTGTAATTTTTGTTAGATCAATTAATTATTAACTGATGTAAGTTTATTCTAAAAAAAATTATACTAATAAAATAAAATAAAATAAGAATAAAATGATATTTTAATTATTTTTTTATACCCAAAAGTGTTTTGAACTGATCGAAAATCATCAAAATGAGTTTTGCCTCTCTTAAAAATATGTTTTCAATATACAAAATGAAGAATAAAATTTTTGCTAACATGTTTAAAAAATATATTATTAATAAAAATATATTAATTGTTAAAAATACCATTTAGGACATGGTTCTTTTCCTCTCTCCCTTAAATCTCTTACACTTTTCTTTTTTATGTATATGATAAAAATATGAATTGGGTCCTTAAAACTCATCGATGTCAAAGTATCCCTCAAGTCTCAAAGAGAAGTTACAAAAGTACTTACATGTATTTAATTTTATTTAAGAAAGATCTCAAATATAAATTATATATATAATAGTATTAATCTCACTATATTATAATTATTTCTGAATTAAACTTAATTATCTTTCATAAAGAATAAATATAGTCCCATACCCTAAAAGAATATCATAACAATGAATTCAATGTTTAGATATAGAAAAAAAAATTAGGGAAAATGTTTTTTAAACCTCTATAAGTATGGCTTCATTTGATTTTGTGTCTTAAATTTTTTATTAATTTTTGTTTTATAAATTTAAAATTTCTGTAAGAATATTATAGCATGTAGTCAAATAATGTTATGTTATACACCAATTTAGAATTATTATTACATGTTATGATATCACTAAATAATGATAATTGTTTTTTAAAGCAATAAAATTTATGACCACTAAATTTAATGAAAAATTCAAAGGATTAAAATCAAATAAAATCATATTTACACAAATAAGAAACATATTTGAACCAAAAATGAATAAATTTAACAATTTAAAATTGTGTCAAAAGATTGTCAGAGAACCAAGAGATTGGTTTAACCAAGTGATGCAAGTCCCTCCAAATTTTGGGCTATCAGTCCACCTAACAATGAATCCTACAATTATTATATTAGATTCCATAACGAGATATGAAATCTTTACATCCACTCGCACAGTAATATGGAATGATAGAAGGTCGTTATATGAATTTACGACTAGGTTGAACCTTTGAATATGTTAATACAGTTTAAAGCCTTCTTTATCAAGTGATCAATAATTTAATGTTTTAATCCTTATCTTTGTAAGTATCAATTTGGGTATGAGTAAGCCTCCTAAAGATAAAATATCAAATCTATATACCTAGCATATCATCAACGTTTTTGAACTTAAACTATTTTTTTTTCCTCTAAGGCATTACTAAAGATAAAAGGATTTTTTTAATCCTTGGTTTCAATTTGAACTTTTGAATCTATGAATTCTTAATCTAATGATAAAGTCAGGTTTGTCCTTGCTTGCCAAAAATGGAAATCAATCAATTCATGATTACCACCAGGCTTTGCTCTTTGCTAAAGAAACAATTAATGTTCAAAATCTTGATAGATGGAAGTTTTAAAATGGCCTTTTTCATATATTATATACACATAGTTAAATCCCAATGAAAACACCATATTATAACAATTTAACACAATCATGGATCTGATAATACATCTTAAGAATTTAAAATAATAATTGAAATCTTGAAATGATTTTTTGTCTTCCACCAAAAACTATTCTAGCATTAAGGGTGTATTCCCACATTATTCATGTATATGGTGTATCATTTAATTCCCATAGAACTTAGTAATAATATGCAATTAATTTGGTAAATGTTAATAATAATAATAATAATAATAATAATAATAATACACCCCACACCTGCGTTGTGTATTTCTTCTTTTAGAAATGAAAACGTACTCATGTTAGGTTCCTATGTATGTCCAGAAGATGTTTAATTTGATGTGGTTAAATTGGACATGCACCCATTTTGTTTCCATATGCTATATAGCTTCACCTTAAACTTCCAGTTTCAGTTGTTAGAAAGCAACTACAATTGAAAAAATAATAACAGAAAAACGGAAATATCTAATGATAGAAAGCACAAAAACAACATCTCAATAGCTTTATTTTTGGCTCCACTATGCTGTACTGAAGATTCCAACTACATTTAAAGTACTCAATTTGATCCCATTGGTTTCCTTCTAGTGACCATACCTCTCTCTGCCAAGGGATAATTTTGCTTTTATTGAGAATATTTCTTTTCTCCAATCAATCAAAATATCCCCATCTTTATTCATGAACTATCATGTCTAACTTGAAAACTACCAACACATACCACCCACTGTCCACATGAATCAATTATTTGGACCTACTTTTGCACTCCCAATTTGAATGAATGATATAAATGAGAAATATATATAACTAGCTAGAAAAACCTAAATAATAAAAAATAATTAAACTTGTCAAAAGCAAATAATAAAAAAAATGCAGTAAAAAGACATCATTGGCCCATGCATGTCCCGAACCTACGACTCGAGCTAAGCTAGAAGGCAAGGAAATGTGGTTGCCCTTAAATAGCGATTCAGCAAAACACCTATAGAGAGAACCATACACTTATCCGTGCAAGAACTAAGGATAGAGCAAAGTTGATATGAAGGGTTACGAACCCCGTTCAAGCTCTTCTTGTGCAGCTTGCAAGTTCTTGAAAAGAAGATGCATACCCAATTGTATATTTGCACCATACTTTCGTTCTGACGAGTGCAAGAAATTTGCCAAGGTTCACAAGGTGTTTGGAGCCAGCAATGTGAGCAAGATCCTCATTGAAGTGCCAGAAGAGCAGAGGGAAGACACGGTGAATTCACTGGCTTATGAGGCAGAAGCGAGGCTTAGAGACCCAGTTTATGGATGCATTGGTGCCATAGCTCTTTTGCAAAGGAAGATGGTGGAGCTTCAACATGATCTTGCCATTGCTAAGGACCGTCTTGCTCGCTATGCTGCTGCTGCTACCACCCCTTCCACTACTGATATCTTGAATGCCCATGTTAGTTTGCCACCTTTCCCTGATATCTTCACTACCACTGATTTCAATGACAGCTTCTGCCACAGCTCTTCATCTCAATCATTGAGCAGACATGAAACGGTGGATGATTTCATTCAAATCCCATATATATTTTGATGTTATGACCCCACCCCTCTTTCTCTTTTGTTGTAATTGTTCTGAATTCTCATCAATCAAAAGTAGCTACTGTGTTGTATATGCTAATTAAATAAGAACTCCCATGAATGAATTGGTCTTAATTGAAAACTTTTGCTTTCAGAATTCCTATACTATCATAGGAAATAGGAACTGCGGGAAAAAATTGTGATTTTTTTGGCCTTATGAGTTTCACTTTTGTAATAGTAACATAAAATTTCAGGTTTGATGCTTCTCTTGATATGGTGACCATGAAATTTTGCTCCTAAACCATGAAATTCTTTTATCCCAATTCTGATTATCTCCCACAGGGCACAGGTGTTGTTTGGTTAGTAAAGACACGACCATATGGCAAAAATGAAAAGAAAAAAAGAGACCCCTATTGTGAATTCAGATAACCTATTTGTGATGTAGACAGTACACCAGATAAAATTCCGCATTCATTGCTATCAGCTACATGTGTGGAACACCGTTTAGTACCAAAGACAACAACGCTACTAGTTTGAACCTTGCTTATCTCTGAACGTTTCTGGCGAAGGCAGTGGGTCTAACCGTACTGTTTTATTGCATCCATTGTGATTTTCAGAGTCACGAACCCCACCAAAGTCCTTAAGCTTTACCGTCTCGTGGGAATCCAAAGACTAATGCCAAGACCATAAAGGTTGAACAGACAGTTTTTCTCCCGTATATAGCACATCAATTCCTTTATGCCATGGCCCAAAAGAAACGCTTGCCATTCAAGCTACATTAATCGTCTCTTACACCCCCATGTGTGCATTCTTCCAAACCCCGCAAACCATGCATGAACTTACCATATTAATTGATTTCGTCGTTAATGTTACTGTTGATATAGCAATTTCGGATTTTGTGCAACTGTATAAGATAACGCTTTAATATATTAACAAGCTACCGACAATAAAACAACGCATGAACTTACCTTATTAATTGATTTCATAGTTAAGGTTATTGTTGACTTAACAATTTCTAAAATTGCAAGTGTACACGATAATGCTTGAATACATTAACAAGCTACCGACATCAAAATCATGCACCAACTTACCTTATTTTATTTATTGATTTTATTGTTAAGGCTATTGTTGATTTGACAATTTTAGAAATTCCAATTGTATTAATGCTAGAATAGATCAAGAAGCTAAGATTTTAAGCAATTAAAATTTATTTTTATTAAGTTAACAAGTGAAAATAAAAAAAGTCTCATATTAAATAGAAATAAATAAGTTGAGTAACATATAAATATTAAAATCTTACAGCATAATAGTCTTAAAGTTTTGAATGTGATATTATTTATTTGTGTGATTTGTTTTTGATCCATTGTTAAGAGATTTCTTTGTTGTTCTGATCTTTTTGTATAACTTAACAATGGTATTAAAGACAATAGTTCATCTAGGTGACTAATCAAGAAAGACATTTAAATAAATTTGAAGGCGGTGAATTCATATAAAAGGATTATTGTATTAAAATTTTTTGGTGATGTGATAATAACTAATGAAAATACAAGTTAAAAAAGTATAGTAGACAGTAATTCTAGTGCTTTCTTTTTCCGACAAATTTAATGTTCATGTGTTATCTCATAAATGAAAAATTAAATAACATATAACTCACAAAGATCTTCCTTTCCTCAACTTGCCTAGAGCTTTGTTTGAGAATTAATTTTAAGAAAAAAAGAGAAATGTTTGTTTAATAGTAACTTTGATTTGCATGTGTTTAAAATGTGACCAGGTGTGTTAATAAACCCACCTATAAACTTATGTTTTAAGTTTTTTTAAATTGAGTAATTTTAATTAATTCTCTTTTATTAACACTTCTTTCTCTCCTCTTTTACCTTTTTTTCTTTCTTATCCCTCTCTTACCGTTCATATCATTTTCTTAGCCAAATCTACTTAATATTTTCTTAATTACTCAATGTTTAAGTAATCTTTTTAAAATTTTAGTTGCGTCGTATGACCCAACAACTTTATAGTTTAATATTTTTTGCTATACCTTACTTTTAACACTAAAGTTAAAATTGTTTTATATTCTTAACTATGTTTTAAAGCATAAAATTTATTTTTAAGTTAAATTTTTAGTCGTGTGTTTTTAATCTTGAGAGTTCGAACAGAAAAAGAAATAAAAAAGGAAAATTCTAGAATTATTTTGTCAAAAAGTTTTTAAAAACTATTTTTATTCTTAATAGTTTTTTTCTTAAAATTGCATATGGTCTAGTTCTTCCATTTAGTATGATTAAAGAGTGCAGACGTTCGTCTGTGTTGTGCTACATGCCACATATTAAACTGTCTAAATATTTGAAAAAAGAAAATTCTAAAAAAGAAAAGTTTGAGGACCATTTCTGATCCTAAATTCTTTTTGGAAAACAAGGCTAATCATCAACGCTATTTTTTTAATCAAATTTCATCTATCATCGCATAAAACAGGTGAATATATTATAGCACAGAAAGCATACAACAGGCAGTGATACATTACATCTCAGTACCGTCAAATTACAGCAAAATATTAATCCTACGCTGATCATAAAGCATACAAGATAAAAAGAAGTGGAAGCAAAAACAAGAAACACAAGAAAGAAAAAACAACGGTTGCATTGTAGACACATTAGTTTCAAAAACTTTGAACTGAAACTACAAGCAATCTGAAGGAAGACAATCTTTGAAGTGGCTTCCATGAAGTAAAGATGTCCAAACTTCTCCCTACTTCTTCCACACGTAAACTTCATCAAATTTCAGATTACACCTTTCCCTGTTTCAAGATAAGTATAATTCTTATAGAAAAAAGAAAAGTGAAAGTACAGCAATTTATTTTATCAATGTGTTTCAAGACACAAACACACGCATATAGGGCATGGTTAAAGGAGAAAAGGAAGAATCACTTGAGAGATACCCGCTTATGTAACCTCTTCTTCAAACTCATTGTAGCTAAGATTACCTTGAGGCTCTTATGCTACCTAAAGCAATTGAAATTTTCATAAAATAGGCTAGCCAAACAGAAGGTGATAGAAATTAAATGAATCCTAATGGGAATTTGAATCCTTCTGCTCACAAAGCTACCTCAAGCTTGGCAAAGACGGATGGGATGCAGTCATGGTTAAGCTCAAAGAACAGATAGTATCCATGGAAGGATATTTTTCATCCAAACTCAAATGTTTCAAGATCCAAGAACTAGATACATGAGATAATGCCAATCCAAAGAACTATATACTTCCGTTTAGAGTTGAAACTTGAAAGTTATTACAAGGTCTAAGGGACACAGTCAGATACTGATAAGAGAGAATTCCGATTAGAAAGTACCACTCAAAACCCAGCGAATAAAAATTTCCCCCAAAAAAACAACCACAGAGCCAAAAAATTTTAAAATGAAGGCCTAAAACTATGCAGAATCCAGATATTAGGAATATCACCACTACATACTGGTATCAGTTTAATACAACCCAGTCAGATAATTTAAGAAATTAGAGAGCAGCGATGGCAATTCACAGAGGTATTATCCTATATAACATTTCCACATCACTTTGCCACTGGAAGATAACAATTAAGTAAAGGATATAACAAGTTTTTCCATAGATCATATCTCCTATCATCTTCTATTATCCTTTTCAATCCAAAGGAGCAAACAATGTAACTGAATGGATTGCTTTTAATATGATCACCAATTTCCCCTTCTCTTCAATTAGACAGTAACAGAATGATGGGCATTGAACAAAATTCAGCGATACGGGTAGAAAAGTTATATAGGTCCATTTTGTGTATTCAGAAAGATGCTCAAGCTCTGCAACTAGCCTCCCCAAACCAACCCTAATTGTTCTAAGTCTGTTGTTATTCAAAGCAATAAGTAGTTTTCCCTAATGCTTCTCATCAGTAGCCAAAGCTTTCATTCTTCATAATCAAACTACAAAAATACAAGGTTTGATTGGTTCCTTAGTAATTCGGCTCAATTACGTTAGACATAGATGCTTAGCCAAAACTCATTGCATTTCATTGAGAACTTATGGCGTTATCATTCATTAAAAATTGATAATCATGGTTATCATTTTGGTCAGAAAATAACACCAAAGGTACCTTGAGAAGCGCCCTAGCCAATTGCTTGAGAACGTTAGGATGGCCGTTAATGGCAACTGAGATTTCCATTCAGTAGGTGTGACGGAGGTTACGGCCGACCTAACGATGGGCCGGCCCATTGGACCCATGGATGAGTTGAGATGGGTAGGGAAGAGGAATTGGGAAGCGAGGCGTGCATTGTGACCGGCGATGACGTAAGCAACCGTAAAGGACGGCAACGCCGTTTGTGGCTACTGGTTTTCATAACATCTTTGCTCCACCATTTCCTTCCAGTAACTCTCACTTTGATTCAATCCACACAACCCCACCATAGAGAGTTTAATTTTTTATTATTTTTATTTTTCAAAAATTAATAGTAAATTTGGTCTATAATATCATTAAATTCTTCTATTTAAAAATTATTAATTAATATAATTCTTTATATTTAAAACGATGTGCTTATAATTTCTATGGTGCCTCAAGATTAAAAAGGCATAGAATGAAATGATGTTGGGTTCAAATCCTCCTGAAGAAGTAATTAACCGCAAAGATTGACCTTTTCTTTCTGGACTATCTTTTAAGAAATTAAATTCTATAGGTTATTAATATCTTTTTAAATTTTACTTTTGAAGGATAAAAGAAGGGGAAAAAGAAAAGTGGTAAGTTTTTTCTTTTAGTCGTGAGAGTGATATGGTTTGAAAAACTGTGATGTAAAAAGTAAAAGCCCAATGATTTTTGTTCCAAGAACCTGGGCCATCATACATTGATTCAGGAAAAATTGATCCACTGTACTCGCTACACAACAGATGTTCACCAAAAACAGATATTGGTATAATGGTTATCACAAAGATGTTAACCAAAATCTAAAATTTAAGTCTAAATAATATTCGATAGATTAGCTTTTTAATTTACAATAATGGTATAATGGTTACTTCTTGTTTCTTGCATTCACTCTGCTTGACATAAAACTAATATTAAAACTATGTATCGACTATGGCAAGAAAGTTCAAGAAGTAAGGGTAAATTATTAACAAAGAATTTCAGTAAGAGAGAAATTGAGGATAAAAATCATCCGCTAGAAGATAAACACAAAAATATATTTCAAGATCATGGGAAACATTAAAACTCATATTTCATGTTTATAATTGTTGTTTTTATTTTAATATCAACAACAATTATTACGTAAAGTAATGATATATATATATATATATATATATATATATATATATATACTTACATTTTCTTAATTTGAATATAGTTTTTTGCAAGGACAAAATTTTGATGGTAAAACATAATTGTTGTTATAATACTAACGTTAACGATAGAATGTTAATTAAAAAATTATTGATTAGAAGTGAAGTATAACTCGGTTGAAAAAAATTTCAAAAATTATTTAATTTTTTAACTATAAATTGTTAATGGGATTATTCAATTTGATTAAAATTTACTGAAAAAAATAAAATATAATAAAAATATTATGCAAAGTACGATTAGTGTCATGCTTGTGATTTATTATTGAGTAATCTATAAAATTTTATACTTGTTAAATGTTATTTGAAGGATTATTTGGTATTGAAATAGATTTAGATGGAGTTTGGAATTATTCTTAAAAAAAAAAGTGAATAGTAACGCATGAACAGTGTCAATGAACAGTAAAACTGCCTATGAACAGTGAAACCGCGTACAAACCGCATATGAACAGTAAAAACTGTGTATATACAATGACCGCTGATGTCATCAGTGACATCATCCTGACATCATGGCTGACGTCACATACGCGTACAGTACACGTGCACAATATTTCCGGCATGAATAGTGTCCTGAACAGTGTTTCCAGCGTGAACAGTAAGGCGGTGAACATTGTTTTCGGCAGTGAATAGTAAATTTCAAAAAATTTCTATAAAAAGGAAGTTTCACACGAAATTTTTATTTCTTTACTCATATCCAAGGTTTTCAAATATTCCAAGGCCATATACCACCATTTTCTCTCATATTAAACTCTCCTAAACTTAGATTTCTCGCCAGATTTGAGATTCTACATCTATTATGAGGGATTTGAAGAGAAACTCCGTTCTAAAGCTAAATCTTCAGTGAATCTTGCTATAAAACAAGTAATATTCGGTAAATCTAGTGTGAATCATCGTTTTGAGGTAAGGAAAGTTTACTTTAACCTATGAATTACGTTTTGAACGGTTTAATATGCTATTTCAAGATGTTTTGATATGATTTTGTTAGATCTATTGAATAAAAGTTATTTTCTAAGCTGTAACTGTTATTAATTGATTTAAAATGCTGAGATTTTGGCTGATCTATTATAAACTTGCCTTAGTTGAGCTGTTAAAATAATTTTGACGGTGTGCATCATGCTGAGATATATGTTTTGCATCATTATAGAGCTGAGTTACATGTTTAGGTGGGTAGATGTGTAACGGTAAGTTCATGCTGAGCTGCTGTGCTGTGCTGTCTGAATCCAAATACCAGAATGGGTCGCTTCCGGACCGACTCGATTCTTTCTGGATTACTTAGGTTGTGAAACCAGTTGAAAACTGTTTTCATGATGTGCATTAGATGGGCTGAAAATGCATGGGGCTATTAATGTGAGAAATATTTTGCTCTATATATATGATTTTATTTTATTTTTTAGGTAAGTTCACCCTTACATTTCTTTCTATGTCATTGTGTGCGTGTGTACTGCGATGATCGTACGGTAGTACGTGAGCAGATGTAGCAGGTGTTGCATCTACTTCACAGGCTAAGGGGTCAGTGGAGAAATATTAGAAGCTGGAGTCGAGTAATATTGCATCAAAGTCCCTTTTTCTTTATATTTTGAGACCTCATATAGAGAGAGCTATGTAGTATAATTTGGGTATTTCAAATATTATGAACTAAATATAACATTATATTGTTCTATTGGATATTTATTGTAAAAAATTTTATTTTATTTTGAATGAGAAGTGAATTTTATACTTATATTCTCTATTATTTATTTATCTTAAATAAGTATGTGATGTAGAAATAATGTTCTCAGTTCCTTATAAAAAAGGTCGTGACAATTAGGGTTAGATATTGCATACAAATGCTTGCAAAATTTTTTTATAGTTATGTATACTTAGATTCAAACTTATTTGATGGATAATTTTTTCTTATTACAAATAAATTATTTAGATTCGTTTGTCATCTCTAAAGCTTACTTAATAGGAATGATTCTTAACTGTATTCATTGAGTGAGTTTAGTTATCACTCTTAAGATTGAAAATTTTTCTTTCCAAAGCTTAAGTTATATATGATAATTATTTATAGTTTAATAAAATTTGCATATTAGTTAATGATATGGTAATTGAGATGTATTATTATTGTTTATTTATGTATTGTCCTTTATCTAGTGCCTTTCTCAAACCAATCGACTGTGGGAAATTCAATAAATTCTTTGTATTGGAAAAAAAATTGTAAGAGTAGAATTATCCCGTTTCATAATCAGATTTTATAAAAATAAGTTTTATGTGATATATAAAAGAAAGAAATGAGATAAAAAATTAAAAACAAATATATAAAATAATTTGTACAGAGTATTTAGTGAACATTTTAGAATTGTATCATTAAAAAAATTACTTAAGTTAGATAAAGTATAAAAGAAAATGAATGATGTGTCATGATAAGATTCATAAAATACTATAAAAAAAACAAAACAAACTTTAAAAACTTCTGCTAATTGCACCAATAAATTTCTCACATGTCATGAATATATAAACAAGTTTATATATATACCGACATCATCATTGACAAGTCTAAAGTAATTAAAAGAAATTAATTATTAAAAAGCTACAATGTAAAAATGATGAATTTCCCACTCATCACCCAATTTCCTTTTTCTTTCTAATGCAATGTTTGTACTGTGTTATTTAAATGTTTTAAAGTGGAAATTACTTTAGATGCTTGAAATTGATCAATGACCTTAACCAAAAAAGAAAAATCTTCACTGATTAACTTATAATAGATTTAGACAGAGTTGGGAATATCCGAGAAATGGCGCATAAACGGAGTGCTTCATTGTTCCATAGGAAGAGTGTCACGGTGATGGGCATTGAGAAGGCAACTGAAGCTAATTCCAAATATGATGAGAAGGTTGATGTGAGAGACCGACGGCATTCGATGGTGGGCATTTCATTTTGCAAAATGCGAACGCTACCATTACCACAATGTCACGATTCTTATTCTCAAGAGGTGAAGCATTTAATTTAAATTTTGGTAAGAGAAGGCGCCACGTCAGTAACCTGTCTAATGAATTTTGGAATATTCGTCTAACAAAGGGCATATAAAATAACTTATTTACAGTGATGAGTTAGAAAGGAGGGTCAAAAGCTAAAAAACAAGCGACAAACAAACTTGTGAGGACACTGGAAAATGGGAACGGGAGAGATTCAGAATTTGGATTCTCTCCCACACAGTCACAGATGCATGAAAAGCTCGTAATTGTCAACGGCAGGTGTAGGGACAGCGAGCATGACATTCACACCCACACACTCATCTCTCACAGGCAAAAACAAACAGTACCTATCACAGCAAACGGGTCCCACATGAACGGCCTTCCCCATTCCCACGTCAACGCTCTCCAAACCCAGCCTTGACCACTGTGACACTATCAACACCCCAACCGGGTCAGGACACGCTCTTCTCTCCGACACCAAATCCATCACACCCCTCACGTGCTCCTTCCCCACTCTCTCCTTCGCCTGCTTCACCAAACCCGACCCGAACCCGATTCCCCTCTCCCCCAGCTCTTCCGCACTCGCTTCCGCACACCCCAGAACAAATGCGTTCCCATAATACCCCTCGGGTAAACACGGCTTCACGCGCTTCCGCACGTTTATACTGAACAACAGCTTCAACATTTGGTTCGGCGGAAACCTCAGTGCTCTCGCCCAGCTCCTCCACACGTGAGCCGCAAGAACCTCGAACGACGTGTAAACCACCGACTCGCCGGGCTCACTCGTAATGCAAGCGAGTCTCTTCAGCTCGCCGAGTCGCCTTTTGTCGAATGTTATAGAGGTTGGTTTAAGCCCGGTGGAGACCCGGTTCATGAAACCGCAGAGGTCGGGCACTCGTTTGAACTCGGGGTGACTCACCGGGTTAACTCGCGTCTGTTTCACTTGTGGCGGGTTCAGAAGGTGGCGGTCCCAGATAGGTTTGGGCCTAGGAGCTAACTCGTTGAGCGGCGCGTGTTTTTCACGAGCTAACTCGGCGAAATAGTTTAGAAACTCGGCACTCCCGATGCCGTCGCAGATGCAGTGGTTGATCCCCACGCCGATTGCGGCGGCTCCGTCGCTGAGCCACGTCAGCTGAACGACCAAAGTCGGCGAACCCTTGAGAACATCTGCCACGTGGAGCGACAAGAGAGTTCTCCAGTGGGTAACTGTTTTAGGTGCTTTCTCGAAGTCTATGGCGTTGTAACTGTCAGCAAAGGCTTCTATGAACACCGCGCCCTGGGCCCCACATGCCACCTCGAGGCCCAAGCAGTCGGGCCTGGGCCTAACCCTCCCGGCAAAGGGGTAATAGGGTACCAGTGCTTGCGCTAATGCTGCTTTGAGACGGGCCGTGGTGGCATCCTGGTCGACGGGAGGGGAAGGCTTGTAGAGGAAGAGGTACTCTATGGTGAAGCGAAGGAAGAGTTGGGAGTCAAGAGCCGATAGAGCGAGGACAGTGGATGGGGTGGTTTCAGAAGGTGTAACCATTGATGCTTCTTTCACACGCACACAACTTCCCATTGGTGAATCTTTCTCTGATCAATATGGGGCTAAGATGGGGCTGTTGATTGAGGTGCGGACAGTTAGTTGAGAGAGGCTTAGAACAAACAGGTTGTGTTCAAGGGTGAGTGCGGGTGCAGTGAAACTACAAAATGGATGATATTTGTAAGGACTTGGGAGTGAGGAGTATCATTTATCGTACCTTTTACCACCTTGATTTTATTTCATATATTAAATTTAAATTTTATTTTTTTTGAAGTAAAGTAATTTAATTTTTTTTATCTTAATTCAGCGTTGTTATTTTGAACGATATCACTATACATTTGAATTAAATTGTAGAAATTATTTCAGGTTAGAAATCTCAAGTTGAAGTACAACTAAATATAGTTGTGTTAAATATTTTCAAAGATGATTTGAATTAAAACACAAAATTAAACATGTTAAAAAAAATAGTAAAAACTTATTTTCACTCTTGCGGCTTTGAGTTTCTTTTCTAACACAAATTCAAACCCTCCATCGCATTGATTAATAAGAAGTAAAACTCATGTTTTTATATTTTTTATTATATTTTTCTTTTTTATCAAATTTTTACTTTAAAATAAAATGTAAAATAATTTTAGCTTAATTAAATATTTGATTCCTATAAATTATATAATTTAGACTTAATTTTTATAAATATTTGATCAGAATAAAATTTTTATTTTTAATTCATATAAAAATAATAAAAAATAAGTTTAAATTATGCAATTCCGATAGAACCTAATACTTAAATGAACTAAACAATTTTTGATAAAAAATGATTGTGGTAGAATGCTTTTTTATTCTGTTGTATTAAAAAGAAAAGAGGGATTTGTAAATTTCTAGAGCGAACAAATTGATGTGTGATTGGATTTTGTGTGTCTAATCGTGAAAGAATGGGGCAAGATTCTCCGGGCATATCGCTTTATCGAAGAAAATGAATATCAAAACAAATACAGTACACTGTAGAACAGATGTGCTCGCTTTGCTTTTTTGTCTGTGGGGTTGTACTGATAGCTTTCCCTCTCTCAATCTCAATCTCAATCTCAATCTCCACGTTGCCAAATTAGTTTTTAAATTTTGTCCTTTGCATCACTTTGATATTACTCATACTTGGTTATTTGTCCGTTAAATTTCCCATAAACTTGTATGGTGTAGTATAAAGTTAAGTGTAAAAATTTTGATTTACATACCCAAAAGCTTCTATATTTTTTTAGTAACGTTGGCACGTTTGTGAATTGTGATGAGGTTGACGTAAGTCGTTTTGCTTCACTGCTATCTGTCAGTCATTCTGTCCAATTCGTGTCCCCATAGGCTATACCTGGCAGAATTTTTACGAACAAAACTACTAAAATTCAAAAAAGTGAAAATTAAAGCACTCACAGAGGGTAGGCACAGATAAGGTTAAAAGCATTGCCTAAATATATACTATGTTAGGTTAGGTTAGGCATGCATATATGTGGAATTTGGTATGTACACATATTATAGTTGGAGTAAAAAGTTTCATTTTTATTTAAATTTTGAACACATAAACAATTTGTAAAGGAACTTAATATTAAATTATTTATAAAATCTAATAAAATTGAAACTCATGTCAATGTATTTACCTACGTGTTGATATTCCTATCGCTAACCCGGAACCAGAGTGAGACAAATCAGAGTTGCATGGATCCACATAATTGAGAACAACTTTGGGAGTGGGGCCCTCGGTGAATTTTACATTTTACCTTCATCTCTTCTATAAATATAGTTTTGAGCCAAAATTAGGGCTCGTGAATTTTTGGGTCATATCTCAAAAGTTATTCACACAATTTTATACAATTAAAAACTTTGTCAGAAACAAAATGATATATGTGTAATATAAGCTGCTTAAAAATATATGAGCCAACAAAAAAAATTATTATCATAATATTAATTTATTGTATTTACGTGTCATATATTATGATTGTAAATTATGCATAACGAGAAAAATGTTAGTCATCTGCATTTTTTATTCTCAGTATTCTCGTAAAAAAATATAGAAAATATAATATAACGTAATTCAACTCTTTTCATTTATATTTTATGTACTTTCAACATAATTTTATTATTTTATAGTTTTTAATTAAATTACAAATAATTTTATCTATATTTTTTATGAATAAAATTGTAAATTCTTTTTTGAAATAGATAAAATTATAAATTTTCATCGGACATACAACTGTCCAAACTTCTATTACCTACTGCAAGTTTGTTTATTTTAACAAAAAAAATGTATAATCCTTTTATAGAAAATTTATCTCCGTTATTTGAGTAATAATCAAGAAAGAATGTTGTTTATTACACATCTTTCACTAAGTGTAGCTTATTCTATTTTTATATGAAGACTTTTTTATATATAAAATACATATATGTATCCTTTATCAAATAAATGGTTTTAAACGAAAAAATAAATATACAATTATCATTTTTCTCTGTGAATTATGCACATGGATCTAAAAGGTATATTAATGAATGGTAAAAGTAAACAAACTTTAACCGACATAATAAATTATAAAATTATATGTTTTTTATTTTAAAGTATGTGTTGGGGCTGACACCTACCTTCACTTTTCACCTTGAACCCGTCTCTGGGTTGTAATATTGTTAACCTTGGTTACAACTCTGCTTTCTGATCACTCCGAGGGGAAGCTTTAATTTATTTTTTTGTTTATTTTAACAAAGTGTTCAATACAAAAACCAAGAAAACATAAGCTTTGAATTTTTAATTAAAATTTTTTAAATTATGTCTTAATAAAATATTTTATTTTATTTTTTAAAATTTTACTTTAATTATTGAAATATGTAGTATTTTTAAATTAAATGTTTTAAATTTAAAATTTTAATTTTTAAATTAGCAATCATCAATTATTTTAATTATTATTGTTAAATAACATTAATGTTAAATAACAGAATAATAATATTGCACATTGAGTGATACTTGACCATTTATTACAAAAATAAAATGATATAATTTTATAATTTTTTAAAATAATTTATTTTTCTTCACTAACTTTTAATATTTTTAAATAATAAAATATATATTTTTAACTTCTACTTCGCTCTTCTTTTATGTCATTCTTTTTTTCATTCGATCAATTCTCCAAAGACATTCACATTACAAAAGTTTTTTATTTTGAATTTTGTCACCTAAAACAAATTAGATGAAAAAATAAATAAGTTAAAGGCTAATTTATCAAAACTGGAAAATAATTTTCTATATTTGGAGGTAAAAAGGTTAAGAGGACAGTAAGAGTTTAAGATTTAAGGTTTAAAGTTTAATAAAAATATTAAATTTGAAAGTAATTTCAGTGAGTGTAACAGTTGAGTGAGAGATGATTAAAAGATAAAATTTAGGTTAATAAAAACTTGATCTTGTTCAATTGTGTTTATAAGAGAAAATATGAGATCTTAAGTTGAATGAAATAAAAAATTGTAGAGAGACAAAGAGAGTAAAGCTATTGCAGTAGAAAGAAAATAAAACATGCATCACGTTGTAACAGCGGTTGGAAGCAAAAAAATACCATAAAAAGAAACGAAACATAATATTTATTATTTAAAAATATTAAAAATAAAAGATAAAAATAAATTATTTTTAAAAATTATAAAATAATATTATTTTATATTTAAAATAAATTATCATATTTCACTTAATACGATAAATTATCATTCTATTGTTTAATCTTAAAAAATTTTAACGATAAAATTAATGATAATTAGTAATTTAAAAATTAAAGTTTAAAATTTTAATAACTAACTTCAATGGAGTTACATATTTCACGTACTAAAATAAAAATTTATCTTATTATTAAATAAAACTTATGTAAACTTTACTATAATTCCACTCTATAACTAGATTTAGATGGCTAAGAAATGTCAATTTTACATATTTCTTAATGTCAAAATGAATAATAAGTAGTTATACTGTGTATTATCCATTTTCGTATAGATTAGTTGAGATTTCATGATTTCTATCTTAATTTCATTAAAAAGATAAATTGTATTTGCTTAATACAAGAAGCTCTCAATGGAGAGAGGAAGGAAGCAATATAGCGGGTTCACCTGCGGGAGTAGTAGTGTACCCATGCGGCCATGGCAGACAAAAAAAAGATATGATAATTTTTCATGATTAATTATTTTCTTGATAAATAAATATTATATAATAATAATATTTTTTGGTGAGTTGACAGAAAACATTATACAATTATTTAAGTTACAAAAATATTTATTCTCAATATGTTATTATAAATTTAAGGTGTCAATATTTTATTTATTTTTATAAATATATAATTCTTTAAAATAAATTCAGAACCCAACTCAAGTATACTTTAAAGAAATTACTTTTGTGTCAATAGAATTATTATGTTCTTACAAAAAAATTTACAATAAATCCTTAAAAAATATAAGACAAAATGGTATTAAAATAAAAAATTCTCTAAAATTTAAAATTGCTTTATTATATTCTTATAATTTCATCTTACTGTACTTTTACATATTACATATACAAATCAATTAATTATAATATATTATCAATATACAAATTTCATATTACTGAGTTCTAATTTTAATAAATACAATTGCATTAAATATTTAAAGGGAGAATTTTGTTATCCAAAATAATACTACTTAGATTTAAACAAAATTATCTTAAATGAAAGATAGATGCAGTCTAAACCAAAAAAAATATAAAAAATGATTAAATGATAACAAATTTTAATTAAATTTATAATAATTTACAAATTTTTCATTTCAGCATTAAAAAATATTATTCTTAAAATGGCGCGAAACAATACTTTAAATTTAAATCACCTTAAAATAATCAAAGACGTCTTTCCCGATTTTCAGCAAAAAGTAAAGCTGAATCTATTATAAAAAGTTTTGCCAAATCTACTTTTGGCTTATGCTACCTGATTGCGGATGTTTTGTTCTCAAACTTCATTATTTACATGAAAAATACTAGGCAAAACAGATCAACGTTAACATTTAA